AAAGGAGAAAAAGAATACCACTGAATTAAGATCCCTTCGTCCTGATTTCTGTTTTCGGGGGGCCAAGGCTTCTGGCTGGAGTTTAAACATTCTGAATTGCCTCTTCACCTTCATTTACTCTCTCATCCTGTTTTTGGAAGGAAACTGCAATTGTATAGGTGAAGCTGCCAAGGAGCTGGCACACTTAAAGAACATGACAGCTTCCAGCATGAAGTGTCCTTCCACTGGAAGAAAAGGAGTTGTCATTGCTGTGATCACTGCCATGGCAGTGATTTCCGTTTGCATAGCTCTCACCATAACCCTGACAGTCAACAGGAAATCCCTGCAAGGTACTAAGCAAGAAGACCAGGGTTTGCTGGAGGCGGGGGCCAGTGAATTTCACATAAGTGCTGTGATTGCTGGGTTAGAATTCATATTGCATTTGTTATCTATACGTTGACAGGACAGGCTCTCAGTTGCAGCTATAAGAATAGAATTGTAGAGTTGGAAGGGAATCGAAGGGCCATCTAGTCCAACTAGATTGCAACTGCTTTTGGCTTTGGTTGATGCACAAGTATGCAAGCTCCCTGTTTTGCTGAACTCTTCCTCAGGCGGAAGGTTCTATGGTAAAATGTGAATGCTTACTTATTTTGAGGCCAGTTGGTTCAATGAAATGTATTATTTCAGGTCTTTTAGCCTCACAGGATATTTCTGGGGCGGATTCCATGAAATCGGTATACACAAGAGGTGGCTGGGTAGTGGGAAGGTGGGCAAACTCAGTTTTGTTTTCCCTAAGATGTGCACAGCCTCAACCCAACCCCTGTGAAACCCTCACAACCTTGCCTGATATTTTTCCTGGGCTACAGTGGAAAGCTCAGTGGCAGAGCATCCATGCCCCAGTTTCAGTCCCTGTGTATCTCCAGGTAGGGCTGGAGATGTTTCTTGTCTGAAGCCCTGCCAGTCAGTGTAGACAACACAGAGCTAGATGGATCAATGGTCTGACTCTGTATCAAGCAGTATCTTAAGTTACAACACTCCATAGGTTGAGCGTCTTTCTTCTTCAATACTTGTAATTTGCACAGAATTTTGATTAAGGATCTTTACCCTTTTTGGGGGGGGGGGGGGTTAAAACGAAAGCACTTCTACATAGCAAGGAAGAAAGCGAAGCCAAGAGCTCGTAAGCCCATGAAGGGGAAGCCAAGATGTGAACTGTAACATAAGACCCCTCCTCACAGGATTTGGATACCTGATGCTAAACCAGTCAATCAATCAAATGTTTATTACAGTCAACTAACCATTAGGCAAAGTACAAAATACAAAATAATTCAAAATCACAACCTCAGCAGAACTGATTATGAATTACTAAAGGTGACAAGTTAGTAAAACAAAAATTACAGCATGTCTGAGAGATATTACAACCTTCAGATATATTACCAACACCACCCCTCAAGGGAAGATACTCAAAAGGTTCTCTAAGGTTTGACCAGAAATCCATCTGTTAATAGGATAAATTATGCTTTCTCAAACCCCTTGATAAATCTATAGTTAAAGGACACACGAGAGACCATTTCAGGCTTTAACTGGTTGCAAGGACAATTCCTATCCTTGAAAATAACTTTGGCAAATCTGATGTCTAGTTTCATGGAGGATAAAATGTTAAAACCTGCCAACAAAACTGTTCTTACGTATTGTTGGAAAATTTAGGTATGGCATACTGTACATTTGTTGCACCAATTCTGGCCCTTCTGTTAAATGTCATCTTGTTATCAGCCATATGTATATTTATTTAGAAAGGAAATGTTGACCCTTCCCTTCTTGAAATGAATGAAATATGGTATGTTCCTTCAACACCAAAGATATGCACTAACTGGCTCTAACTACCAAGAATGACACGGGAAGTTGCGTTATTTTCTTATTTGCATAAAGCTTTTGTTTTGTGTGTGGGTTTACTTTTTATTAGGAGTAACCAGTGCTTTTTTTCTTGGGGGATGCAAAGGTACACATACCCCTAAATATTTTGTGAATCTCTGTACTTTTGTCCATTTACTGTATTTATTTTCCCCAACTATAAAATGGTGATATGAGAGTACCCCTAAACATTTTTTTAGAGAAAAAAGCACTGGGCGTAACCCATGTTTATTTGTGTTCAATTTCCTGTTTAGATTCTCAAGCCTTCAGTACAGGTGGAGATATGTTGGATTATTTGTTCAATCTGAGGAGAATAGACCGGAAAGATGGGTTGCTGGTCAGCTGGTACCATGCTGCAAACCGGAAGAGTGAAATGGAAGAGGCATTGAAGAGTAAGACACTGTTTTCTTCTCCCAGGTTAAATCATGCCTGGCTAAAAGTACCATAATCGGGAACAAGTGCACCAGCTCGCCCCTTCAATTGTGTGGGGTTGGTGCTTTGTGAAGTGTGCATGCTGTGTGCACACCGTGTGACGTGGTGATGTCACTGACTTTGGCAGTGTTTGTTGGGAAGGGGGTGGTGGTGGTTAAAGAGGTACATTTGGACTTTAACTGCACATTGTGAAGGTGCTTCCACACCGACTGCTCTACAGTTGTTAGACATCATTATTTCTTTACCAGACTTACGGAGATATTGGTCTCATTTGTTGCAAGTGTTGTTCTGCACAGTTCCCAAGGAACAAACTTTCAAGTATGTACCGTAGTAGCAGGGAAGAAGACGGCTTGAGTTTCAAGTCCAGCTGAGGGTTTTCCCTCCCTCAAATAATGCTTTTCACAGATACATCAGTGCTACGAATTCAGAGTAAGTCTGTATTCAACTACCCACATGGAGGATAAAGGGGTATATAGGCTTGCTAATGGGTGTAAGAACTTGTCAATATCCCTCAACTGACAGAAAAACAACTGCAGTTTATTTGTCAATTTGTATGTGCTTGAGGGGCAAGTGACAGAAGTTAACTTTAAGGGGCTCATTCTAGGTTCAAAAGTGCATTTTAATACATTCTTCTTCCAATATACCTTTTCTTTTTTTAAGGTGGGTTAACCACCATGATTTAAAAGTTCTGCTAAACTTTAACATATTAACTACACCATTCCTTACAGTTAATCAAGGCAGAGAAATCTGTAATGATAAGGGGGATAGGATGACTCACATTGTAGCGATAAGAATGAGCAATTGATTCTAGTTGTGTGAGATAAGACAACTCCATCAACATGGAATGCTACGGTTTCCTACTGGTTCTGTCTGAAGCGGCTTATCACCTTGTGATAATGAAACTAGAGGAATGGGCAGAAAGCTCCAGGCTGATGTAGAACTCTTCCACTTCCATTATCAGCTCAGGCACAACTTACATCAGACATCTTATCTGAAAAAATCGAGTATTTCATTGGGCCTTGGGAATCCTTCTTGAGGAAGGAACTGGAAGAGAGAGGTTTCCACTGAGTTGTCTATCAGTTAGCAAGAGGAATCAAAAGAACATGGCATAAAATTGGAGGGCCTCTGCTCGTTCAGGAACACTGCTGTCCTGGTGATCAGAAACCAAATATATATTTATTTCAGTAGGAATTTAATATGCTGAGTGTTGGGTGTATTTTTCTATTTCTTTGTGGTGTGAACCCAATTAGTTTCTCCTTTTCTTCAGATAGCACTTTGTATAGTGTTTAAATTGGAGGGAACAGAAGCCCTTCCTGATGTTGTTTGACTCCCAACTCCCTTCAACCCCAGCCAGCATGGCCAATGGTTTGGGAGGATGGAAGATGTGGTCCAACAACTAAAGGCTCCCCAACTAAGCTTTAAAATAAAAAAGTTGATGTATGTTTGTTTGTTTATACATACATACATACCCCACTTTTTCCCCTGACAGGGACTTAATGCAGCTTACAGATAAAAATAATAACCTCTAAAAACAAACACACACACACAAAATCTATTAAAACTATACAAATAATAAAATTTATTAAGTGAGAAATTAACCTTTTTTGGTTGCTCTATCCTAGTGTCTGATTGGCCTCACTCGTGGTTGCTGTTGGGTAAGAAAAAGGACTCGGCTGGCAATGAATTTTGGGTGGATATTTTCCTCATAACACCATTGAAATTTCCAGAACTCAACTGTGTTGAGTCCTCATTAAAATTAAACCCTTCTTGCAATGGGAACAGTACCTCAAGGACTGCCTCTCCCCACATAAACTGACCTGAACCCTGCAATCATCACCTGACACCCTTCTTTGTGTGACCCCCCCCATGGGAGGTTTGGAGGATGCTGTGCTATTTTTCTAGAAAAAGAAGTGCTGGAACTCACCATGAGCGTCTCCCTTGTTCTCTTATAAAGATGGCCACCTGAGAGGTGCTGGAACTGAGTTCCGGTGAGCTCTGGCTGAAAAAAAGCCCTGGAACAATATGAGAATGGGCCTTTTTGGTAGTGGCCTCCTGCTTCTGGAATGCTTTCCCCAGGTAGGCACACCTGGTGCCATCTTTATCCAGCTTTAGGAAGCAGACAAAAGTTTTTTTCTTTGCCTGGGGCTTTCAGCCCTTAATTTCATTTTGGCCTCTTTAATGTGGCTAGGACCTAGAGTCCGGCCTTTTATTCATATACGTAGGTAGGTTTTTTTTGGGGGGGGGTTGTTTTTAACTGGTTTTAATGTAAATCACTTTGAGTTACTCCATAAGAAAAGCAACTAGCAACAGCAATAAATAAATAATATTAATAATAAATGCACTATAAAGAAATCCCTTTGCTTTATAAAATTATTGTCTGTTCTGTATCAATAATATTTGCTGCTATTATTACCTTAAAAAAAAAGATAAGAGAAGTGCAGCAAACTGTTTAAATATAGCGCTTTTTCCACAGTTGACTGAATGCATCTAGAAGCAAGCCTTTAGACCTTGTTCCAATCCCAGACCCTAAAATCTGAAATGGTGCCTCTGGGTGAAAGCCGCCCATGCCAAACTCCCACCATATGCAAATAGACTGTGCACAGAACTTTCTTCACTATGAATTCTCTCTCTCTTTGTGTGTGTGTGTGTGTGTGTGTGTGTACGTACGTACAGGTGACGTTATGGCCTTGGAAGCTGATGTCACCGTTGAAGCCCACAACACACCCAATGAGACAGGCACGCCCATCATGGCCCATCCACCTGATGTCTACAGTGATAACACTCTTCAGGAATGGCTGGAGGCAGTCCTTAAGTCATCCAATAAAGGTATGTTGGTTGAAAGGAGACGTGCCAATTGAAGTGGATAGGGAAGGGAATTATAAGCTTCAAGCCAATAATTATAAGCTTCAAGCCAATAATTGGTATTGGGTTTGTTTTTACTCAAATTGTTTCATCTGAAAAGTATAATTTTTTGTGGGGGATAAATTACTTTATTTAACTATATTTATTGTTGTCAGCCTTATGATCTTGCCATATGTCACATGCATGGAAATGGCTGAGACGGTGCATAACGGCCCATTTTTAATGTGGATGTGAGACTGTACACCACTGAGATCTTATATCCAGTACTTTACATTTGTGCTGAAAGCATCTTCCAGGAAGGGGGAGGAAGTTATGTATAAAAGAGGCCCTGGGTAGCTTCCCTGAGAGCAGTCCAAGCAGAGTAGGAGTATTTTGAGCTTGGATGTAGCAGCATAATTTATTACTGGGTCGAAACACCTCAAAAAGACCATGCACCCATTGACCACGGCAGGAAAACAAGCAAAGAACTTGAAATGTAGAGGGTGATTTCCTTTCAAGTCTGAGCAACTTGCAATCAGGAATGAAGGTTCCATTGTTTATTTAATTTATAGCTTGCATTTTGTTTACCCCACTTCCTGCTCAATAATGAAGCAACTTACAGGTCACTTCCAGGTGGAAACTTATTGAGCAGTTATCCTGATTTGTTTTCACAAAATTTGTGCAGAAGTCTTATGCTGTCACCAACACGCCCCCTACCCAGTGATTATTATTATCCTACACTTTTTGTGGACTACTATCTGTTTTTTGTTTTGTTTTGGAGGGGAGGGGAGTAGATTTGTTGCACCAGAGCTCTACTTGGTCATTGCTATTTATTGTGATGCGCCCGTTTTCTTTGTAGAAAGTTAGGAAAGTATGTTCTCAAAGGCTGCCTACCTGACTGTGGGAGAGATCCACACAAAGGGTGACTTGTGCCCACAGCAGACCTCTTCATGTGTTGCCTCCATCCATCCATTCTAGAACAAAGCAGGGTTAGTTGAGTTAGAGGCACTAACTGAACCTGATGGATTTCACAGGAGTTTCTTCCTTTTCCAATTAGCCATCAAGCTGGATTTCAAAAGCATCAAAGCTGTTGGCCCATCTCTGGATATATTAGTAAAAACCTCCTCTCAAATGAATATCCACAGACCTGTGTGGCTAAATGCAGACATTCTGAGAGGCCCAAATGTACCTATTAATATTGCAGTCAACGCAAGCCGGTGAGTAAAATGAACTTCTATTATATTTGTATCAGGATGCATTTTCTATCCTGGGGTGGAGCATCTGTATCCAGAAGTACCTGTCTACAGTTCTATCACACACTAACATTTGACACATGGTAGGAGTCGAGTCAAATCAAAACCTGTTACTTTCTCCTAAGCCTCCACTTGTGTAAAGCATGTGCATACAGGGGACCCTGTGAAAAGCAGCTGGAGGAGAAGGGGACAAAGGCTGGAGAAAGAACTATGAGAGGAGAGGTGCCCTTTTCATAGCCTTGGGACCCCCTTTTATATATTAACTGTGTATTTTTGTAATATTTGCTGTTTTAAGTTATCTGTTGCTTTAGTTTTCTGTATACTCCTTAGAGGGTATGTGTGTGTGTGTGTGTGTGTATATATATATATATATATATATATATATATATATATATATGAATGAAATGGTGTAAATAAACTGTCCCAGATAGTCAAATTCAGCCCCATATTTGCTCAAGAGGGGTCACCTGTGGGCAAATGTAGTACAAGGTGTACTCAGTAGTCCCACTGCACTAAAATGCATTGCAAGACATCAGAAAAATATGGATCAATTGCTGCAGATAGCTTAGGAACCCAATAACCCCACAACCATCTATTCTCTGCATATGTGGCATAAATTCTCCTCTGAGGCAGACCCAACTTAATCTGCAATGGAGCCAACATTTTCCATCTGAAAAGCTTCCAAATCATCCCACAGTCTCTATAGTCTTCTTCTAGCACAAGACTTCACTGAGCCAATTTTGCAACGACACAATTGTTGATAAATGCCAAGTGTCTACTCGATTGTGTCAAATGGCCAAGTTGGCTTGTGCCTTGAGACAATCTCTTAATCACCACTAAGCCAAGCAGGGTTTCCTTCTAGATTTTAGACTGTGTTTTGCAGGCTAGTAGCGTCTCAGCTTGTATTGGCAAAAGATGGCAGATCAGAAAATACAGATATCTGTAATAAGGGAAGGATTTGGGATCAGGATTATGGGATGCTAGAAGCCGGGTATGAAGGTTACTGGGGGCAGATCAAGTCCCAGAGTCATTAGTTGCCAGAGTCATTAGAGAGGCTTTCTAAATAGGCTCTGAGTCTTGGCTATCCTTGTGTGAAGAGAAACTAGAATGGCTTTAGATGTCTGCAGTTGCAGCTATATTGTTGTTGTTTGTCCTCAGATTCCTCTCACTCATCCAGGAGAAGTTCCCAGACTGCACTCTCTCCCCAGGATGGTCAACCCTCTATTTACCTTTCTTTCCAAACAAGACCTACACACAGAAAATGGTTGAGGACATGCATAGCCTCGTAGGGAACCTGCCTCAGCGAATCACCTTCCCTATAAGAGCCGTCATGGCAAGACCAGCCTGGCCTCATTTGAGCTGGCTTCTCAGCCAGTCTGACAGGTAAGAGATTTACAGCACACTTATTGTTTATCTCCACTGCAACACACAGAGATTAATTCAGAAATCTTGGTTTACTCGCGCACTAGAAACTTGCAAACTGTATGCAATAGATCAGATTAAAACAGAACTGCTAATATTAGAATGAATTTACATATTCCCAGTCACAAAACATTCCAACCACCTTTCAAAAAGTGCTGTCTTGGGAACAAAGAAGGCATTGCCCGCAAGGTACAACACTGATCTCCCTACAGTGCAACACAAGGACACAGCCAGATTAATCACAGCAAAATGGGAGTAGGGGAAAGAGGAAGTGGTTGCTAAGCACTCAGGATGCTTGAGGAATTTGATCTTTGGGGATTCTGATCCTAACTGCCCTGCTGGGTTACATCTCTTGGACTGATGTGCAGATTGGAACATTATTATCCTTCAGAGCTGCATCCCTGTAGGCATATCCTACTGAATCATTTCTGTAGTGAGACATCACCTGTACTTTGGAATGCCTTGTCAGTTGATATTAAGCAGGTGTCATGACTGTATCCTTTAGATGCCTGCTGAAAATGTTTCTCTTTTGGTGGGTCAGCTTGTGATTTGGTTACATCTGTTCTTAAATTTGTGTTAGATGTTTTATTGTCTTCAGATGTTTTTAACAGTTTTTTAAATAACTATCACAGAAGTGTTTGCTGCCCTGGGCTCCTTTGGGAGGAGGAATATAAATTTAATAAAATATATACTAATCAGACTTTTCTGAATTTTGCAGTACTGTTCTTGGCTCCCCATTACATTCTATGCCATTTCCTCAAATCAAACCACACACCCCAATGCCTCTCAGGTATCAAGTCAATTGCAGCCTAATCATGGATCTCCCACATAACGTATAGTTTGGACCTTAGCGCTGAATGATTTCCTGTTTAACATCCTAGACTACACAGCTTCCAAAAACTTCCTGTACCCCCCAAATGATTTCTCTTCCTAGGTACAGCCTGACTCTCTGGCAAGGGAAGACTGATCCAGTTACAGTGGATGATCTCCTCTTTATCCGAAAGAATAGCCAACCTGAACAAATCTATTACGACCTTTTTGAACCTGTGTTGACTCAGTTCCGAGACTTGGCATGTGAGTATTAAATTTTACTTTTGAAAATACACTAAGATACAGGCAAAATTCAAGGGTATGAAATATTTGCATATCATACAGCCACAGCCACACACACACCTCTTCTAAGCAACCAATTCAGCAGGCTTGTAAATAGGCACTTGCCTAGTTTCCTGCACTGACTCATATTCTAACAACCATTTTAGACAACAAATGACTAAGGCTGACCATGGTGATGCTGGCTAGGGTTTATGGGAACTGTAGGTCCTACCTGGCCAGGAAGAGAATCCGGGATCCTCTGCGTCCAAATCAGATGTTCTACCACTGAGCTGTGACCCTTACCTACCAGGGATGGGAACCTGTGGCCCTCTAGGTGTTGTCTGACTGCAACTCCCAACAGCCCCTGCCCGTGTGGCCAATGGGCCATCCAAGAACATATGAAGGACTTGTTTTATAGTATAAAAGTCATTTGTGTTTGTTTTCATGAACAAATATTTCAACTCCCTGTTGTTTCAGTTGAGACTAAGCACCAAGAATCAGGGCAACCTCATCCAAGTCCCGCTCTTTGTTATACATCTGATATGCGCTGATCCAGCAAAGTTTCGAGTTTTTCATTTAATTCTGAGAGCAGTAACATTTCCCCTCTGGGCTCATTGGCCAATTGAAGAGCTCCAGAATAGCTTTGACACAGCAGAGATTCACGTTGGGCAAGGCTCTTCTTGCTTTGCAGCTTTTTCCTGCCCCGAGTCAGATCACCAGAATCTGGTTGACTTCCTTTGTTTTGCAGCTGGATTGGCAGTTTAGCGCATGGACTAGATGTTCAGGTCCAAGTGTGCTTGTTCTTGGTTCTCAGCACAACAGGAAGTTCAACGTTTCAAGCACCTAGGCTGATATCACCAGATCAACTAATATGTTTAAACTCTGCTTCTTCAGTCAATGTGTACACACCAAAAAGGAACCAATTCATAGTCCCTGCAGCAACTTCTACAACAAAGAGTATCCTCAGCTTCTTGCCATCTGGACGGTGCTGCTGCGTAAACAGCTTGGAAATGCCATCCCATTTGGCTGAGACAACTTTCAAACTAGTGTTAGCAGAGAAGGCAGACGTGGCACACAATAACATGACAAATGAATGAAGTTGAACTAAACTCATTCTCAGACTGTGGATGTGGACACTCTGAGGACATGGCTGGAGCATCACCATGGGTTTGTACATCACAAAATTCAGTAGCTTTAGACATTTCTTTAAACTGTCCCATTTTAGCTGATGGTTAAGGTTTAGAAGAAAATTAACAAGTTTATATTCTCTATCACAAGTTGTGCTCAATTCACTTTCACACTGATTGGTTTACCTGTTTACCTGTTTACATCTTCTTTCTGGACCTTAAAGTACTAGGAACTTGATTTCTTTAAAATTAATCCCAAGGTACTGAATTCTGTATTTAACCTCAGCTTCCACGCTTGCATAATGTGAATGCAGAAGCCTGACATACATGTGCAGCAAAGCAAGAAAACCCTAGAAGCAGGCTGACTTTGGCAGACATCAGTGGTTCTTGGGGGACCATACATTGTTACACAACTGCTACCCATACAATGTGATCTCATGTACAAGAAAGAGATCTACTGCAGTTCTCAGCTCTGCTGCTGAAGCATGTAAACCAATCCTTAACCAGAGTTAACAGCCTCACTGATATACCACCCATGTTATGGGCAGCTTCAGAACCCAGGAATATATGTTATGTGCTTAACAGTGTCAGCGCTAAACCCTACGGAGCATGAAATGAGAATTTGTTAACATGCACATATATAATTATAAAATGGAGGCATGCCACCATAGCCTCCAATAGCACCTGAGCAGTTTGTGCCCAATAAATGCAAACTCGGGAGCTTTTAAATTTTTAAATATTCTTTTATTGAGAGAAATGTCAATAAAGTCCCACAGCTCTGTCAAAAAGATTCAAAACCAGAACTGGCAAACTTTACTACAAAAGAGTAAGAGAATATACCCACCTAGTAAAACAGAAGATGAGGTACTTGGTTTATGGATCAAATAATAGATTATTCATCCTGCTTCATTCCAAGTACCAGAAGGGCAAGTTTGAATGATTTTTTACATAAGAAGGACAGCACCGCCAGGGCAAAATAATTTAATCTCCCTCAGGCTCAGACTGATGATAAAAAAACTTCCAACATTCAAGAAAGACACATTGATACTAAATAATGGTTAAAGAAAAGCTAACATGTGACATGATTTAATAGTGTGCTGATTTTGTGCAATGTGCACTGTAGGTAGTTAAGAATGCCCTCCACCAATTCAAAAATTAGTTTGTAGATTCTTCCAATGAAGAACAATTGTTGCAATGAATTTGTTCTGAATTCTTGTGAAGCTCATTAAAAAGCACTTTAAAAAACATTTCACCTCTATATGAAAATTCATTTTTAAGCTCCTGATTTTTCAGTTGAAAGCTGTTCTCCCACCTAGTGTTCTGGACACAGAAAGAAACAGTCCATTTTCAAGTTTTTCTTGACATCACATTTCTCTGCCAATCAAATATATACAAGGCTTCAACAGAAGCCAACACAGGTGCAATTAAGGACATGTAAAACCCAGGACAGATCAGAACAAATTGCTTCCTGAAGTGTAAACATGATTGCTAGGTTACTGATCATTAAATCCTACTGCATAAAAATCTTCATTCTGCCCATAAGCCAATAAAAGTGACTTCCCTCCACAAGTGAGGGCTGTGCAATTTGTGCATTTGTATAAACCTGTTTCTTTCCTCTCCTTTTATCACATACATTGAGCCGTCATTTCAATATTTACAACGATGCTCATTGTCAGACAAAGATGACTGGTTTCTGTACAACTAAAGATTCTGAAGCCCAACCGAGAGATTGTCTTTGTTTTTCTGGAGGAACTGTTCACAGGCTTGAAAGGTGGAATGGAAGCTTGAAGAGAGGCCAGCAATGTTAGTTGTAATGTAGGCCAAAACACCTGAAGTGGCCTGGTGGTAATACGACACCTGGAAACAAAAAAAGAGCATCTTATCAATTAGTTCCTGGGAAGGCTTCAGTTTACTGACCCCAAACTAAGAATGGATTTCCCTCCCCAATGTAATAGTTGACAGCAATGCCAGAGGACCTTTGGCTCCTTGAACTCAGTTCTAATTCCTAACTTGCACAAGACACTGGTTTATTCAGAGGAATGCAAAGCAGCAGCAGGCTTCAAGGTACAATGCAAAGGCAGCAAACAAGGAACTAGTTAGTGTACATCTGTGGGTGCATGTATCAGGAGAGACACCATGTGGATTTTCTGCCATAAGCATCAGAACATCTTGAGCCATCTCTGGAAATGATTGCAAGAATCCTGGAATAGCAACCCACAAACTCAATCCAAACCATTACACTGGTGGTGCTTCTCCTTTTGTTTTTAGGGTTTGTGCCCATTTTAAATCACAAAAACCTACAGCCAGAAAAACCTTGGAGCTAGAAATGGGCAGAGGCTAAAAGCTGGCACACACACGCAGGTCCCTGACTTCTTTTGCCACACCACCATTCCCAAATACATTGGCATATGGGATTGCATAGAGGAAAGTGTGGTGTTAACCAATGGTACATAAAAGGAGTGCCTGGCGTGCTCTGGTCCATGGGGTCATGAAGAGTCAGACACGACTAAACGACTAAACAACAACAACATAAAAGGAATTCACAGCAAGTGATTTGCTATGTTTCAATATTTCACAAACAGCATCTATTCTAACATCAGGAAAAAAGATTTGTGACACTTTATAAAGGTAATCTGGTACACAAAGCTACTCTCAGAACAACTAGGGTGAACTCATGCTATCAAATACATCCCTGGGAACTGAACCAATTTGGAGGACAGAGGCTCATAGCCTCCAGCCTCCACTGTTTCCGAGTTGCTTTAACCATAGTTTCCCATGGTTTCTTAAATTGGGCAGATTACAGTTAGTGCTGACTTCCAAACTATGCGTTTAGAAACCATTGTTTGGAATTTAGCACTAACCATGGTTTGTCCCTAGTTGGAAATAATGGCAAATTATTATTATTATTATTATTATTATTATTATTTATTAAATTTGCATACCACCTTTCATCTGGAGATCACAGGGCAGTTTACATCTTAAAAATACAAAACGAGAACACAAAATGCATAATAAAAAAATCAAACCAATAACCCCACTCCCCAGAAACACATTTAATCAGCCAATAGCCTGGTTATAGAGAAAAGTTTTCACCTGGTGCTCGAAACCTGGAAATGGAGCAGAATCCTTGTGTAAGTAGGGAAAGGGGATCCATGGGACATTCCCCATAATCCATGTCCAAACTAAGCCACTATCACTCATTCCTCTGCTGCACTCTTGGAAAGCTAAATGCCTACCTTAGTGAGCTCATCTGTTTCCTGCCAAATACAGAAGCCAGAACACAAGGTCTCCCCACGGGTATACTCTGGTTTTGCTGGATGTGTTGGCAGTGTGACAGATCTGAATGCTACAACATATGGATCACTGGAAAGAAAGGAAACCCAGTTAAAACAAGTGCACTGAACTTTCCCCTCTCTGCTTTGAAGTTCACCATGCCCACAACAACCCCCAAAGAAATCTTGTTCTGCTTACTCAATAGGCTGAACCTGCCCTGAGCTAGCCTAGTTCTTGCCTTTAGCTTTTGTTCAAAACTGGTGAAATGAAGTTTGCAGAAGAGATTTTGAAAGGCCACCTGGGCACTGGTCTCTTTACAGATGTGTGTGCACCATATCTGAAGCGGAACAGATGCCCTAGACGTTGCAGTGGAGAGGAGATGTTTGGCAACATACCCTTTGCTGCAAGGCTTCCTTTGTGACACGAGGATGACGAAGTCCTGAGGCTTGTTTTCCTCACTCATAGTATGGCTAACAACATGATAGATCATGTCCTCTTTATCAACTTGTTGGACAAGTTCAGAACTCCTGCAAAAAGGGAAATCAGAAGGTGAACAATTGGAGATGACAATTGCCCTTTTGCATCTGGCTGGCCGCTGTGTGGTACAAGATGCTGAACTTTGACCAAGAGACCTTATCTTAGGTTCTTATATTTGTGCAACTGCAACAATAAAGAGCAACAAGAGCCAATTGGCTAACTTTTGGGAGTGATCAAAGTTGTGAGGGCATAAAGGAGGAGGCCTGGTACTGTGTCTAGTATCATTGGTAGAGTAGCTCAATAACCTCAGATCTGAGTTATGATGAGATTCTACATGAGCACAGAAAAGAATGTGCACAGAATCTACTGTTCCAAGAATCTCAGCTTCTGGGTTTGTTTGTTTTTAACTACGTGAGCAGAAAGATCTCTTAACTATGAGAATGGGAATTGGGGACACCATCCCTAACTAAAAAGCAATTGTTAACCACCAAAATACTTACGCATAATGATTGTCCCATTCGTGCCTGTGTCGCAGGTCCGAGAGCAGCAGAAAGGCCTGCATTGCATCAATGCAGATGGTCATCTCTATTCGGATAGAGAGGAATTTGTCCTCTTCCAGTGTGTACATCTTGACCTTAGAGAGCGAAAGCAGGGGTGATTAAAACAAACAAAAAAATGGCACCTCCAACAAAAAATATCTACATTCCAGTTCAATGCAAATGTAGCCCAACAAGTTTCACTGTATGCACAATTCACAAGAACAAAAATAATAGTGCTTGCAGCCTGAAAACCATGATTCCTCCCACAACAAAGATAAATTGGGATGAGATGTTTGGATACTTGACTTCATGTTTTGCATTTTAGACTGAACAGTTGCTTGAGGATGGGGTCAGCTACCTTGTCTCTTTCGGAGGTAAGCACCCAGTTGGCCTTTGCTACTAATGTCTTCAGTGCAGTAACATTGTTGTAACTCAGGTAAACCTGCATTAAAAAAACACACAAGAAAATAGCCCATCAAAAAGAGCTTCTAATTGTAATGTGTCCAGCACCAGCATGACCTTTTCCCATTTCTTCCTCTCACTGTTCCTCTTATCTTTATTAAATTACACGCTTGTGTGTAGGGATTGCTGTGAATTTCTCTCTATTATTGTAAAGTATTGAGGGTCCTAGTACATGTTGTTTGCTCTAGAAATAAAAGACAATGATGGGGACTTCATTCCACTTTAAAACTTTGCCTTATATGCTCATTCTGACACGGAGTTCCATGATCCCAGAGATTTCACAATTCTGAAGCTTTGGAATTTTTTAGCAGAATTAGCCAGACTTTATATAATTTCTTTAGAAGTTGCAGGGAGTTGAGTGCTACGAATCAGTGAGGACTCTGATAATAAAGCTTGCAAAAATAAATACATCTTCCTGTTCCATTTCCAATTGCTCCCCCATCCACCCTGGCAAATGGCCCCTATACTTCGTGGAACCTCCTTTATACCATCTAGTATCACCAAGTTCCTGTCAAAATATTCACAACTTCAAACAAAACTTCCTTCCACAAGAAGATTGTAAAGGGTCCTCCTCTTTCCCACCCCTTAACCTGCACAATATACTAAGGCAAGAAAGTCTGATTTACTTTCCATCATGTGTATTTCTTTGATGAGGAATGGGGGAATTCTAGAGGTGCCAAATATTGTTCACATTTTGATAACGAAATACATCTTAGCAACTCTCTCCACTGTTCTTAAACTTATTCACTGGCTCCTAGTTGGTTTCCAGGCCTAATTCACTGCTGGTTTTAACTTTTAAAGCTTATTTGGCAGTCTTGCACAACAAACCTGTTTCTCCCAAATTGGGACTGTTTTTGAGACAAGGCTAGTGAAGGAAAAATAATGTAATGTCCTGTAATGTCCTCACAAACAAATCAGAATGAATACTGAACTGAATAAATAGCTGTCTTTGCCTAACCACCACCCAAACTTCGTTGAGCATTCATCGTAATTTGTTTTGAGCAGTCATCTTGAAGTGACTTAGGATAAGGACATTCTAAATAGTAGTCCGTCTCCTTAAACACCTAGGCAGATTTTCAATCATCACCAGAAGCTCTGCTTTGAGTGCCACCACCTTTGGAAGCAAGCTAGGAGGAATAAGCTGAAGGCCTTCCATCAGTGGTATGGAATTTCTTCCCAGCAAGGCCCAAAATAGCCTTCTGAAGGTATTAAGAAGTTTATGAAAGCCTTTGGGGTGGGGGGAGAGAAAGAGTGTTTACATGGAATGTGATGATATTTTCTTGCGTTTATTCTGTTTTACTTTTCTCTTGCATCAGCTGCCTAAGAGACCTGCTGTCAGACTGAAGGAGGTATAAGTAAATATTTTAAGCAAACAAAAAGTAAACCATGGGTTTAACAAATCAAATGCTCTAACTTTAATCACCAGCCAAGGTTTCAGTGGGTTTTGTCCTGATTGCATAGCAACAGACACATGTCCGCTTCTAAATATCTAATTTCCCAAGGTACAGGCAAAATGTCATGTCTGGCTGAAAAGCCAATATAGAAGCTACCTGGAGGCCAGCTTGCATTCTGAGACAACAGCATGGTGTCTCCTTCCTGGAGAAAATGGCTACTAGTTGAGAGGGCTATGTTACCTCCAATATCAGAGGCAGTATGACTCTGAATGCCGTTTCCAATGAATCACAAGTGAGGACGATGCTACTGCTCTCACATCCTGCTTTTGGGCTTCCCCCAAACTCCTGCTTAGCCACAGGATGCTGAACTAGATGGGCTACTGGCTTGATCCAGCAGGGCTCTCCTACTGTTCTAAACCAACACACAAAGCTTTCTAACTTTATCTTTGCTCATGAGTAGCATTTCTCGTTCCCTCCCACAAGAGAGCCCTTATTCCTTAAGACATCTGAGGCACAAACAAGTTCCATGGCAGGTACGGTTAAGTTTTTGGGGCCTGAGGGTGGCAGTCACCCTTGGTCAACCTTCTCAGGGAAGTATGCAGATGACGAGTATGTCCAAAAATGGGCACCTCCCATTGGCACACCCACACTTGTATACAGATGGGACACACAACACACACCCCAAGCTGATTTGTGCAGATCAACTGATGGGGGAAGGGGTTATTGTCCACTCTCCACCCATCAAATGAACTTTCTGATAACTAAGGGTTTTTGATTTTGGCTACGCCCATGGGTGGGCGTAGAAACTAGTCTACTGTACAAAGGTAAAATTCACATTTGTTGCGCTGTGCACTTCTGCTTTTGGCACCACCCACGACTGGCATGTGGCCCCTGGAAGGCTGCTCCACGAGGAATGTGGCCCTCCTGCTTTGGAGGAGTCTAAAGGCCCCCTGAGATGCAGATGTTAGCAACTTGTGGAGCAAGTTTATTTTACCTTATTGCTTTGATCCCAAGGCACAGACAAAGGTACTTCTGTATGCTTGCAGGAAAAGACGTATTTTCTGCAGAAAGGAAAAGAATGCATTGGTTACGCTGAATGTTGACTGTCAACAAAAGGTAATTAAAAAGCGCTCCTCATAAAATTGGCACTAGAAAGGAAATGGCAAGTATGCTTTGAACGTGACCTTCCAAAGATATTATCTAAAAGAAATAGGTTGTCTTGTTTTTACATTGTCTTGTTTTTAAGCATAGCTTTTAAATTAGCCACCAGACTGAATCCAGGTATGTGCAGAGGAAGGGAGAATAAATCTTTTGGTTCAAACAGAGACTCAGTGGGCAAGATAGCTATATGGTCATCACAGAATCATAGAAATGATTAAGGTTAAATACTCTTAGGGAAATCTGCATAGGGTACAAAGGCTGGAGTCATTCATTTTCAGTCGGATCAGACTGGCATGTTACCAGATCTGGGATCTGGGCCTTCAATTTCCACGTGTGATTAGAATCACATGAGGAAGAGCAGGAAGGGTGGCTGGCCCGCAAAGCGTCGCATGCCCACTTTTCTCTGCACACTGGGAGAGCAAACTGACTCATGGTGCCTCCCTGCATGATCAGGACTCTAAATTGCACAGGAAGCCTCCACAGGTGCAGCAAGTTCCTGCACCTGGAGGACAGCAAGGGCAGGCACAGGGACACACAGAGGAGTTCACCCCCACTTTTCTCATCATATGAGGAGGAGAATACCTGAATGCCAGTTTAATCGAGGCACTCTAGAGCAAGCTAGTTACACAAGATAGTGGTGTCAACATCTCTGTCTTTTTGTACACAGAGTATTATTCCCAAATGGGCTGGTGGCTGTTAAAGAAAGTAAAGCAAAACTGAGATAGCCGGGATGAGGGTTTGAGTAGAAAGTGGGTGGTCACAAACAGCCAATCAAGGGGGGGAGGTCTTCCTCTTCAGAAACCTTCCCTTTTCTAATTATTCTCTCTCTCTCTCTCTCTCTCTCTCTCTCTCTACACATACACACAAAATTTATTGGTTTTTGCACATGTTTTCCAAACATAACATCCCATCTTCTACAATGTAACAAACCTTTGGCTATCACAGCCTAGGACTTCCGTCAACCTCAACTAATGGTTTTCTAACTTTCTTTCTGATTTTGCATTTTATTTTAATAGTTATTGCTATAAAATCCAAATCCTAAATAAACTCCTTAGTCCTTTTTTGCAATAATTCATATAGTTCTCCTTACAAAACTTCTTGCAACCCTACAAGCGATGTCAATTGATTACAATTGTCTTTCAAATATATCATAAATTTCTTCCAATCTTTCAGGAAAGTCTGGTCTTGCTAGTTCCAAATTTTCCCAATTAATTTTGCCAACTCGGCATAGTCCATCAGTTTCATCTGCCACTCTTCTTTTGTTAGTAGTTCTTCTTGCTTCCATTGCTGTGCTAATAGTATTCTTGCTGCAGCAAGAATCCTTTTCCTAATTATTCTCAGACACGTCAAAAGGGAACAAATCAAAGACTGGTAAATACTCCCCAGCTGAGAGCAAGTATGAGATTATAGATGTATTAGGGAACACTGTGCTAGTTTGTGGGATACCTTTCATTTCTTGTGTGGGGCACATTGTGCATTCAAGGTATAGTTTTGGGTTTGTTTTTCAGTTAAGTGAATTCCTTTGCTTGCAATCATTTTTGGCAAAATCTGTCTTGGTTCATTCTGGCCTTTTGCTGGTGCTAGGGAGTGAAGGCAGGCAAACACCTGGAGAAAATCACATTCAGGTTCACTCTAACACACCACAATCACATCTATTGACTTCTTTCATATGTGGATCAAGAGGCCCACTTGCGAATAACTACTTATGCAACTTCCTGCCACATCCCCCAACACAGAGTGCCCTAGATTCCTTTTCCCTAGTTGCAGGGTTAAAGTCAGAAGTATCACCTAATTGCACTAAAATAAAACCTTGCACAGGATACAGCATCTCTCAAATTTAGACACTGCTATTAAATTTGGATCTATTTTCAGAGAGGATTTCTGCACACAGGTGAAATGTAATGGGATTTAATGTAGGGGCTTGAGGAAATGGAAACTGGTTAGTATGGTGTGCGTGACTCAGCTTCGTAGAGTGCATTTCTGCTATAGAACCAGCAGTAGCCTTGGACTCAAGTGACAGAAAAATTGCTTAGTGCTAACAGCAGGGCACTGACAGTCACAATATGCTCTTGTTCTTTGCTCAACTGTATCACTCCCATACAATCTCATTATCAGGACCTAAGATAAGGAAATGAGAAGGAGGAGAGATCTGACTGATAACAACTGATCTATGACCTTCAAGGTGACAGAGCCATGGTAAAGTGGTCCAAAGTACCCAATAATAAGAGGTCTCGCCTTGGCAAGCCATATGACTTAGAGACATTTTAAACTTCTTAGGAAGAGGAGATCAGACAGAACAAAGTCCACAGGTTTTGTGGAACAAGGAGATTCAGGTACATACACAAAATGCACACTTGCACATCAGTTCTCAAGAAAAGGAATTTGCTCATTTTCCTTTCTCCCCCATATTAAAAGGCGCCCATGGAGTCCCAACATCATAAACAGAACATTTGGTCAGATAATATATAGTAAGTTACAGACATTACTATTTAGATTGCAAGCCTTCAGTTACAGCTCTATTCTGTGTTTCATATCAAATAATGCTGTGTGTGTGTGTGTTTAGGAGTTTAAAAATAAATCAATACTTTTAATAAATTCCCTGGATTTGCAGCTTGCAAGACCAGCCCTAACAAAAGATGAAGTAAAATCATGATCTTGGGACAACAAATCTAAACAACCCCTTTTAAATCACTTAAGAGACAGGATGGGGAACCTGTGGCTCCCTGTATGCTGTTGGACTCCAGTTCCCCTCATCCCCAGTCAGTGGGGCCAACCAGCAGGGATGATGGGAGTTGTAGTCCATCAGCATTTGGAGGGCTACAGGTTCTCCTCCCTGACTGAGGACACCTCAATTCAGCATGCATCAACCTGATCCTCCTGCAGCAGTACTGAAAAGAGAGGGAAATGGTACCTCCAAGCTGAAGCATGTTTGCAGTCTCTCTCTCTCTCTCTCTCTCTCTCTCTCTCACACACACACACACACACACACACACACACATGCAAATAGAGCAGATGTTTTAAGAGTAATGGAAGCACAATCTAAAAGCTGTTTGTAGTGGCAGAGACCATTTCTCCCGAATGTGCTTTATGCTGAAGCACCTTCCCTTCCACTCAGACACCATAGCTAGGTGGCCAGGCTGATGTCATGCATTGGTGTGGGCCAAAACTTTGCTTAACAACCCACCAGTTGCAAGATAGTGTTATGGTAAGCCCCGACCAGGGTAAGGTGGCAGTGGAAGGGAGGCATACATGTGCTTACACTCCTGGGAGGGTGAAAGTTGCACAAGTGCCTTATAGAGCTTCTATGGCTTCCAAATATATTGTAATCACAGCAAAACAGGCCCCCGTGTGGTTTTCAAGTGTACTACAAATGCTTTCCCCAGAAGAAGGCTCTCTGTGGGTAAAAGAAATATCGAACGTGAAGCAGCCCCGTAACAGAAATCAGGACTTATTCCACATTCTCTGTATCCACCACAGACGACACAAGGAGGCTCTCAAAGTGACAGCCTGGCCATTGCCTTGATGGTGAGGATTACACGTGCACTTCTGAACCCCTACTAGCAGGCGGCAGGCAGGTCTGAGGTGAGGTGTGGGGCTTCTGTGGTGTCTCTGTATGTGCTCTGTCTAGAATGAATTTTAGGTCAAAGAACAGATTGCAGGAGAGTTCTGTGTGGCAGGATATTGAGAGCTAAGCTGCCAGCAAGGATGCAGAAGCCCCAGGCCTCCGTCTCTACACCAGTACACAGAAACATAGGAAGCTGCCTTAGAGAGAGTCAGACCAATGGTCTATCCAGCTCAGTATTGTTTATACCAAATGGCAGCAAGTCATCCAGGATTTTAGGCAGGGAACCCTTCCCAGCACAAAGAAGCTGCAGAACTGAATGTGGTACCTTCTGCATGTAAAATAGATTCTTTACTATTAAGCTACAGCGCCCCCCCCCCCCATGAAAAATTTGTTCTTAGTTCCTTGACTTGTGGGGGTTTTTTTCACACAAGGGTGGAGGGCAACACAAACTTTATTTTAATATTGTTTTCAAATTAAGGTGTTTTTTTTTGCAATGTACAATGCATCTTTGAGTTGAGCATCTCAAGTATGCATACGCAGAAAGTTTTATTAGCTTTAAAAAAAAATTCCCCTAATAAAGATTTTAGAAAAGCTTTAGAAGAGTAAAGGTTACTCTTGTGAAAAATTGTGACCTGTCCTACACCCCAAGGTCCCAGGGCAGCTAAAGTAAAATGGTAAAAACAATTTAAAACAACTTGCAATCACAGAAATAAGGCAGGTCCTAAAAAAGATGGGCCAGAGAAACAAAGCGAGACAGGCAGACACCAGAGACCACAGCTACTCGCCAATTACCTCGTGAAGTTGTGGCATATTTAAACCTGAGGTTATCCTGAACTGACTCTTCTCCCCACCACAGAAGTGTATTTCATTCTAAGTAGGCTTTGCAGTAAACGACACTGCTGCTCAGCCAAGCATTTTGTATATCCCCCCAATGATTAGGATAAATAAAGTTACCCTGTAGATTATTTGACTGCTCTGCCTGCTACGCTCTCCTGATAGGATGATGTAGCTGCGGTTCACTAGCAGGCACAGGAGAATGACAGAGACAAATGGCCAAGCCACCGAGATGCCGGAAAAGAGGGGACTCCTGAGCAAGGAAGGTGCCACGAACCCCTAAGTCAGAGCATTCTAAGCACTGCTCATGATGCTCTGGCAGCCTGCCTTCTTCTTCCCTGCCTTCTTTCGCTGCTCTCAAGAGAACGCATTGATCTGGCATTAATGCTCCAAGAACTGTAGCCTTAAGGATAATGCATGCGGTCTGAGTCTGTGTTCTGCAATAAATTATGAATTAGAGACAACCAAAGAACAAGGCTATAAATACGCTATGAGGTTTTAGTGACATAACAGGAGGCAAACTGGAAGGGGCTCTGATGTCACCGCAAGGCAAAACTAGAATCAGAATGAAAACACAGAGCTGGACGAGGGTTTATTTTATAAATAGGACTGGCTGTAGAAGAAAGGAAAAGACTGAGGATGGGGGGAAAACATTTCTCTGAGCTTTGCTGGTCACTTTTTCCAGCTTTCCCTTTCTTCCACTAAAACTTACACTTTCGTTTCTACCAAGCTTTTACCTTTCTGACAAATTTTGCTACCAGAACACAGTGGGCCGGATATAGCCAGTGAATTTCTTGGTATTGCCTTTCCTTCCCTGCATTTTCAGCAAACATATTTTGCATCAAATTTAGTAATCAGCACAGAATACAGATTCTGAAGGATCTTAACACTTGCAAAAAAAAATTAAAAAGCTAATTTGTATCCTCCTTCATTGTGGAAACAGGCTTGCGATCAAACCAGAAGTGCCCATAAAAAACTCCAGCGCTGAAGAAATGGAGTCCGTGTGCCTTGCCTCATTTCCAGTTATGTCATGACTGTGTTCTACAGCCAAGCAGTGCTGTTCAACCCACCATCCTCCTATTCCAAAGGTTTAATGTCAGCCCATTTGCAAGGCCAAAGTTCAACCTTAGAATGTGAAGTAATTACAAAAAAAGATGTGTGTGTCTGAGCATGTGCAAAGTATGTGTCCCTTCCTAGGAAGGAAATAGGAGAGAAACCCAGGCATGCTGTTCTGAATGCACATAAGAGATTTCACCAGTGAGATCTAAAAGTTGTCAGTTACCGACATCATCAGAATGAGTCAAAAGACAGAGCTTAAAAAATATATTTTTTTAAAAAAAGACAGAGCTTAACTCTTCTGTGAATAAATAAAAACAGCACATGTTTTTTGGAAACGGCCTAGTTAAAATCAATTTGGATAAATTCACAAGAAACACCTCGCCCTCACTCCTACCTCCTTCCCCTCAAAATAATCCCCATTTGGTAGCTACTGCCTCTGCTGTTTTCAAGAACGCCACCATGGGCACTTTGCTGAGCCACAGAGAATAGCAGAAACTCTACCTGTGGATCAAATCCAGGGGCCCCATGTGCAGGAAGACCTGCTTATACGTAATTGTTTCAGTCTACAACATATGAATACAATTCTACTGCAGGAATGTACAATGAGGGAGGAGAAATCACATATGGTCCTAGTTAGGGAGAGAGCGATGCAAGGAAGTTGCCAGAATAATACTTTTTCACTTACCTGTCCAGTCTGATTTTTTTCCTAGCGCTAGCTTCTTTGAATCGTCTTTCTCCATCCTGTTAAATGGAAATAAAATGGATGGATGACATTTGGAAGACATATGAAGCATGCATAGGAACAAACAAAGCGAGGCTTTAAACTAAATAGATGGGCCAGATGTTAAGAGTTTAACTCAAAGGAGTTTAGGTTGCCCTGCTTTTCCTGCAGTAAAAAATTATGGGCCAGAAAAGACCATCACAAAGGCTGGATCCACGGACAAATAGTATCAACACTGTGAACTGGTATCTGCAAAAAAAGTTGCAGCACAGAATGCTCCAGTCAGTTAATTAGACTTTTTAAAGGTCTCTTCCCCACACCCTGGTGTATTCTAAAAAGTTGCCTTTATATATATTTTTTGCAAACCTTGGGGTTCCCTCTCAATATTTCCCTCTTCTGTGTGAGATGCATCATTTTGACTACACAAGCAGTGGTACCAATGCCTGAACGTAAGATATAGAAGGAATGATATGCTCCCCGCCCCCATGTATAAAGGCAGCAACCATTTTGCGTGCGTCCAATTGACGTGTGACCACCGACCATCTGGCCTTGAATGGCTCTATATAAATAATACTAATAATAAATGGTGGTCCTCATGCTATTGCACACCTTCCTTAAGAGATTTATTCTTACTTCTAAGCTGACACAAAACAAATTTTCGCTGTTTCCCCAAGGAGAAAGCTGGCTTTGCATGGCTAACATGCTACAGTGTGCAGCTGAGTGAGTTCATGCAGGGTTACCAAATTTGATTCAGGACCACAATCCATCACTTTCAAAGGCATTGCTGCTTCTTACCCCAGGCTCTGGTTTCAGCCTTGGAAGTGTGCGTGGCTGACCCTCATCATTCAAGACCACAAAGGTCATGAAGGCACTGTTGATGTGTCTTCGGCTGACTTCCATTTCATGTCGATAAGCCTCTACACACACCCCAACCTCCATGCTGAAATTAAGAAGAAGACATTTTTTTTTAGCTGGCACACATCAAAGTATATGTAGAACTGTGACAAGTAGGAACAGATTCCATTTTTTATTTAAAGGGCCTTTTTGTTAACTCCGCTTCTTTTGGACTTGTGAATTTATCCAAATTGATTTTAAATAGGCAGCCCCCCCCCAAAGTGCTGTTTTTATTTATTCACAGACGAGTTAAGCTCTGTCTTTGGATTCATTCGGATGATGTCAGTAACTGACAACTTTTAGATCTCATTGGTGAAATCGCTTATGTGCTACATGGGGGGGGGGGGGAGTAAAAGAAAATAAAACACCAAAAGCTTCAATCTGTCATCTTCCTGTTCATTGACTTTGCATTTGTTCTGGTAGATCATAAAATGGTCTAATTTATACAAGTGAAGTACTGTAAGTTTTCTGAAAGGCAATACCTGTTCTTGAATGCATTGTTGACAATGGCCTTGAACAGGAGGCGGTCCCCAACCTGAGATGGTCCCCTGAAATGGAACATTTCGATCGTCTTCAGGGTGGGGTGAGCGTGGCACAATCGGCTAGGGAAGAGAGAGTATATTATGAGCACTGAAAAATCGAAACCAGTATTCTTCTGCAGGACAAAATATCCAAATACTACTTCCAACTAATAATGGGTAAGATGTACTCTCACACAAGAGATATTATCAGTTCTCCATTCACAAAACAACACATTTTTACCATGACACAGCGAGAGTCAGACCTAGGCTATCCAGCAAAGGTCAAGCCCACACCACACTTTTAGGGGTCCCACTAAAAATGGATCAAAATAATATTGATTTGATCTTGAATGAAAATTACAATCAGGCTTTCTCAGTTTTAGAAGATAATTTGCAAGGGACCCCAAGATTTCAGCTGCCTAGGAGTCTCCACAGGGTTTAATCCAGCACTGCTTGAGGGGGACTGTTTTCTTTTAGCCTATCTGAACCAGTGGAACTTGTTTCAGTGAGGAATCTCCGTCTTGTGGGACAGCAGTTAAAATAAGTCCTGCTTTGCTTCTGCAGTACCAGAGAAAGATATGGGATGGCATTCTGCTACGTTTTACGCAGAACAGACCTGCTGAAATGAATGAACATGACTAAGTTAGGTTCATTAATGTCAACCGGTCTTCTCTCAGTAAAACTTAGTTAAATACCACCCAGGATGTCTAAACCATTAGGATGCCTCGTCCATACCCTTTGAAACCAGGATGTTGCTATAACTGGCTATAATGTGCGTTATGGTGCTGCGCAGGCCTAGTCAAGTTCTATGGAAAGGAGCTAAACCTTTGCCAATGGGCAAGGGCTGGAGCTCAGGTGCAGAGCAATTGTCTGCATCCAGAAGGTCCCGGGTACAACCCCTGCATTGCCAGGTAAGACTGGGAGATGCCCATTCTGAAACCTTGGGGGGATGCTGCCAGTCAGTGTAGTGACAATATTGGGGTAGAGTGGGACCAATGGTCTGACTCTGCATAAGGCAGCTTCCTATGGTCATCAAGAAACATTGCTAAATTTTGGCAAGTAGGTAACTAAATCGGTGTTAGAGAGCAATGCTTTCAGTGATTCCTGAAGGACAGTTTTACAACTGTGGAAGTAATAACACCTCTGTTATTAGCAGATGATGGAACAGAAGTACTCCAATGAAAAGAGTAGACGTCATAGTGACACACTCATCTCTTCATATGGAGGCCAGTCCTAACCATGCACGAAGCAGGAGTTGCAGGGTCCAAACTTAAACAGCCAAGTAGCACCACCCTGCCTAGTTCTTCCCCCCAAACCAAGTAGACCACCTTGCCGCTATTGTGGCCACATTTTCCATCCAGGCCATGATCTGTCCTCCAAATGTGTTCCCCTGGTGGTTGGCATGTGGGGGCAGGATGAGTTCCACACTTTCCACTCTGGTCTTTTCTGCAGGTACCATCATGCCACACTCTCTGTTCTCAAACTCTGGTAAGAAAGAAAGGACACAATTTTATTAGAGAGGTGTCTGGAGAGGAACAATCTTCTCAGGGTTGAATCCCCACACCCTTTCCAATTTGCTGGGAGCCACAGTATGGCAGGGAAGTGGGCAGGAACTGCTGCAGAATTATCTGGCACACGGAGGACACAATGGTTCCTGTTTACAGCATGCAACCCCAGGAAGCCATGGATAGTCAGCATTTGTGATAAACTGGGATGTGTCTAAATGAATAAACTGGTAGGAATGCAGATACCAGGAGCTAGGAAACAAGTGGCAGCCAGTGTAATACAGTGGTTAAGAGTGTTAGAAACTGGGAGACCAGGGTTCAAATCCCCATTTGGTCATGAAGCTCACTGCATCTCTGCCTAACCTAATTCACAGGGTTGTTGTAGGGATTAATTGGGATGAGGGAGAGCCACTTGAGCTCCTTGGAGAAAAAGGTGGGATATAAATGCAACCAATAAATAAAAGCAAGGACCCATGAAAGGTGAAGCCCCTAACTGACAACCACTGGCACCACTGTTGTGCCTCCTTAAACAGCATGGCATGGACAGCATATGGGCTTCAAGCCTGCAGCTGAGCACCTTCTCTGCAGCAATTGTGACCCCTTAGGGATTTAACAACAGGCCAGCGATGTGCTCTCAGTAGCTTCTTCCACTATGCCACTCATGAGGATCTCTTATGGCAAAACCTCCAAGTATCCCTATCCGCCAGGAAATACAGCTGCTGCTCTAAATGCAAGGACAACACAGAAAGCAAGGCTGACTGCCGCTGAAGATTACATCTTTAGCAAAACCCAATCACCTTCTCTCTTCTATGCGTGAGAATACCTTACATAAATATTGCTGTGGGATATGCACATCACGTAAACACTGTAATTTGAAAAAGAAATACATCCATGTATAAGCTGTAGCTGGCTATGCAAACATGTGTTCAAAGGTACATGCTGCTTCTATATTCTGTGGTGGCCACCCCACAATTATAGGTCTTCCACGCTTTCCAGATACAGGGCTAGCTTCAACTCTCAATGTTAGTTGCTGATGGTTCCCTTTTCCTGCCTGTGAGCACACTTTGTTGTTTCCAACCCTGTGGCAGGATTGATGTACTAGACAAGTGCTGCCCGTCAGCAAAAAGTACCTGAAAGGAGCCTGGGGATTTCTGTACCGGACTGGACAGGGCTGTTAGTAACAAGGTCTTTGATGGTCTCTGTGTGGGCCAGTCGCATGCGGCGGCGTTCAGCTGCAACGCTGTACTCAATCTTCTCCTCTTCGGTTTGAGGAACCAGGGGCTTTAACTTGATCTAAGTGTATTATGGAAAAACAGCATAAAATGTACCTTTCAGTAGAGAGCCTTTGCCGGTGTTAAGCATCCTGACCTGAGATTTTCCGCATTCTGAGAAAGTAGTTCAGCAATGACCTGCCATTTATTTTAAATCTAAAAGCTAAGGAAGTATTTTTCAGCGGCCTCTTCGGGCACAGACCTCACAATGTGGTTGACATAAAACCACCATAAAATAATATTTAATACAGTATGTCAATGACAGCCCCAATTTACAACAACAGTCACTCGAAAACAATTCACAGGCCACCATCACACCATTATAATTCAATAAAACAACCTTTAAACAGTTTCTGGAAAAGCAGCACTCTAAATCCTTTTAAGGAAAGGGGAACTGGAACAAGTGAGTTTTCATCGGCCCCTTTAAAAGCCTGTAGAGATGGGGCAATACACAAATCACTTTGGAGGGAGTTCTACTAGCTTTGGAAACTTGCTGAACGAAAAAGTTCAGGACATACCCGTGATTGCCCAAAGCATTACCAAGCCACATTTTACCTATTTTGATGCTGATATTCTCTGTAGTCTGCATAGTTCTAGCGTAAAACAATAAATGTGTTGTTCACTTTGACAGGAGTGTGTGCGCATGTCAAGGAAGGCCTTGCAGTTCACAACAAATGGCGCCATGGCCTTGTTTTTCAAACACCTTTGTACAGTAGGCTACATTACAGGCATGCAACAAGCTTTCTATTTTAATCGATAGAGGCAAGCAAGAGGCATTATCCACATTCTGACCAGGCAAAAGCACTCAAGGAGAATGCGGGGCAGATTCAGTGAGGTGTGCAGTCTGAGGAGAGTCCCAAAGGTCAAACAGAGGGGCCTGAGGTTTCCAGCCCCAGATTTACACCATGGTCCTGGGTGTGCTTTCGCAGAAGTCCAGCACATTCAATCCTTGCAAGTGTGCAGAGAACTGCAAGCTTCATATAACTTTCATCCACTGCACAATCAGCCAAAGTTCTGTATGCCACAAAGCCAATCACGTCGTCGTTGTTGGCAATGGAGTGCGCCTCCAAGGGTGCATTAGTAGCACCAAAGTTACCTCTCCAGGGTGCAAGCCTGAGCAGTATGTATGGAGGTCCTGGGTTGCCCAGAGGACAAGACCCTCCCCTTGGCCTCACTGATGTGGTCCAAAGGAAAGCAGAGCAATATGTTTGGCACCAGCTTGGCTGCAGGAATTGCCAGAAGGAGGAGTACAAGTCACCATGAAAGCAATCCGTATTTATATCTGTGTGCCCCAATTTGTATTAAAAACCATGCAATGCTATCCCATTTGTGTACAGTCATACCTCGTTACGTTTGGTTCAGGTTACGTCTTTTCAGGTTGCGTCCCACGGCGACCCAGAAGTAACGAAATGGGTTACTTCCGGGTTTCGCCGCTTGTGCATGCGCAGACACTCAGAATGACGTCACGCGCAGAAGCGGCGAATCACGATCCGCTCAGACGCGGGTTGTGTTCTGCTCATGTTGCAAACGGGGCTCCGGAACGGATCCCGTTCGCAACCAGAGGTACGACTGTATTGCAGAACTCTAGACCAGCTAATAAGTTATGATTGAATTAAAATATCTTTATTTTTCTCCTAGTCTCAACAGTACAAATTAGACCTCAGCAGAGCTGCACCAGCAACATACTGTATAAAAACACACACACACACACACACACAATTTTTATAAATAGTTGTTAAGGACCATGATAACATAGCTAAAGCAATCAGCAAGTCTTTATACATTCTCTAAATCCACAGGGTAGTCTCTATAAAGCAAATCTCAAGGGGGAAAGGGGGTTGAAGGGATGGAGCAGCAATGCTATTTTTTTCCAAATGCCTAAACTGAAGATTTTAACTCTCTGTGCCTACCTTAGCAGACGGCTTGCCTTGTGCCACAAAAGTTGCATAGGCCTTGCAGACATTCCACTGCTCCCCATTGCACAGGTCTTCATAGCTGACCTGTACACCAACCTAGAAACAACCACCAGAGGGGAGGAGGAAAAAAATGAAGGTGAGGTGCTGAATTAAGAGTTTAGTTGCATTTAGAAAAAACCCTCCACTATTTCCATTAAGAAAAAGGAACATCTGAAACAACTGGATAATATTTCAAAAGAATGCTTTGTAGCACCTGAAGGAGTTGCACTGCAAGGTAGCTCTCTGTGTTGTTCTAGTTCTTAGCTCTGGTTTGGCAAGTCATACTTCTGAATATTTAAAGGTGAACAGGCGGTGTGATTATTGTATTCTATGTACTGCTGCTCTCCTAAGCAAATGAATCACAGAAGTTTGTTCCCTGGGGCAGAAAAATGAAAACCAGACATCCCCTGGATAACATTCTTCCCTTTTCCAGCAACAGAAGCCAAGTTATGGGAATCAGGGTGCTGTTTGGGTTTCGCCTGGATAGATTCTTGTACTGTGAATTACAGAAAAGCTTTTACAATTGATGGGAGCAATGAATATTCCACAAACCAGGGCCATGCATATTCTGTGCCCTGCAAAATGTGGTCTCTATATAGCTTCCAGGAATAGCTGCTTTTAAGTTTTCATTTTTACTTAAAATCCAAGTTTCTAGCCCTTATGATTATGAAGGACAATTTGATGACTTGGAAATAGTATCACAATCAGGATACCACACTGGACCAATTGCACAGAAACAGTGACAGCTCTACTTCTCTTCAGAAATATTACATTGGGGGGGGGGGCCTTACGAATTCATGTATGTTAATATTATTATTCAATAGAGTGTTTAACATAATATTAACATATAACTGGTTCTGAGGACATATTCCAGGATTCACATGCACATGGAAAAATAGCCAAGAAATACAAGGCTTTGCTATAGGAATGTGACACCATTCTGGCACACAAATCTTGCCAACATGCTTCAAAAGCTCAGCAACTCACAAGTAAAATAGTACTTCAGCTGTAGCATGATCACTGTGCCCAGCAAGTGGATTTTGTCCTCTCCTGCAAAACTCCCATTTTACTCTACATGTTGCTTGACATGGAGGATGTTCCTCTGCAGGGACTGGTGCAGATTCACATGAACCTGCCCAAAAGCTGAGATAGTCTTTGGAGACCCTTTTCTAGAAGCTCCTACCATGAGTAGTGAGCCATAACCAGAGACAAAGCTGCTTCTGCGATTGTACCTCATTCTGCAACTCCCTCCTAAGAGACATCTACCTGGCACCGTATTTGCAGTCTTTTATTAAGCACCTGTTGGAGTCTGTTCTGTTCACTCAAGCTTTCGGTGGTGGTTAAATTGTATCATTTAAGTCCTCATTGTGGCTGGTATTGTCCCTGCTTGTGGTTTTATTAGCTGCTGCTCTGAGCCTATATGCGCTTTTTAAATTTTCTCATGTGGTTCGTATTGCTTTTGTTTCATACATTATTGGTTTTGCAATTGTTTTTATGGTTATTGCTTTATAGATCATGTAAGTGCCCTGAATTTGATTTGATTTTTGCCAGATATGTGGGGCATGTTTAAAAAAATGAAATGAAATGAAATAGGCTGCCACCTATCCACTGCACTACAGTGAATTTCAACACATTGACAGGGCATAGGAAGCTGGAAATAAACCTGAAACCAAGATTTACTTCTGCAGGAAGACACAGAAAACAGCCTTTCCCTTATGTAGCATTCACTCCAAATAGTTGAATGTTATTTCTGTGTCATGCATTATTCCTATAGGACTCCTCATCCCTAGCCCTCTCTGTTTTCCTTTAAACTATCCAACCCCCTTCTTTTGCCCAAAATATTTCAAGCTCGACAAAGAAAACAATGTTTAGTATTCCCATAACAAAGCTTGCACTTTTTCATTTACCCTCCACCACCTATCCTCATCCTCTACAAGTGGTTGTGACCATCCTTTTATATATTAAATAACTTAGGAAAACAGATAACAACTTTTTATGAGATATATTGGTACAGTGTTATCTTGGAAGTTGAACGGAATCCGTACCGGAAGTCCTTTCGACTTCCAAAACGGTTCAGAAACCAAGGCGCGGCTTCTGATTGGCTGCAGGAAGCTCCTGCAACCAATCGGAAGCCACGGAAGTCGCAAGGGATGTTCAGGGTCCAAAGAACGTTTGCAAACTGGAACAATTACGGCATTCGGGACCCAAAACGTTCGTCTTGCAAGTCGTTCAAGATCCAAGGTATGACTGTGTGTGTGTGTGTGTGTGTGTATATATATATATATAACCCAGCAACTCATCTTCAATTCAAATTAACTCAATAACTGCAATAACTGCATGTTTGCATTATCTTTTTGGAGAACAAAATTTGAGCGCATGGTACTGGCAACTGTAGGGCGAGATTCTAGCCTTCTCAGAAGTAAGTCCCACTGAATGCAGCTTCCGGGTTAGCGCCTCCGGCAATGGCGGATTTCCTCTGATCAGGAGGAATCCGCTTCGTGAGAATTAGGGTATGGACCGCCGCGGCGAGGCGGAGACCCATCAAAAACCACAGGCGGGAGAAGCCTGTGGACGTGGGATTCGGCTGGCACCTTTTGCGCCTCCCCTACTCGCGGGGAAACCCGGTTTCGGGGACCCGGAGCAACGTGGGGTGAATGGCGCAGTGCTTCGAATCGACTGCTCTTTTCACGGAGTGAAGCCGCATTGCTGTTGCCGGAGAGCACTGACTTTTTCCTGTGGACAACTGGATTTTAAACAACTGCCCGTGAGTAGAACGGAAAATTGGATTATGAAATTTCTTAATTTGGCACCGAAGCGGGAAGGTCTAAACAGGAAGTCCGCCTTCTGCTTTTGTAAATAGATTGAAGCAAAGACATTGCAAGCTAGAGTCTGGAAAGTCGTTTGTAAAGGACTAAATTTCCATCAGTTAAAATTACTAAACCCCCCTTGGAAGCAGGAGAAGAGGGGGGAATCCCTTTAGACTGTTTAAACCTGCAGAAGAGAGAGTAAAGAAAGATAAATTTCCACCGTCTTGAACCTGGGAGCGGGGTGTCAGGACAGACGCTTTGGGGAAGTTCATTGACTGTGGATAAAACGTTTTTGACAGATAGTTAAAAAAGAGAAACATATTGATTCCAATGTTCCCTTTTGCACTTAAAAGGAACAAAATATCTGAAAAACGAAAGGAACTTTGTTGCTAGATCTGCTTTTAAAAAGACGGATACAAATAGAAATTGTTTCCTCTAGAGGGAACTTGTGGAACTGTTGTTAGAGTCGATCTGGGGAATTTTGCAGCTGTAGAGATTAAAGATCGTGAGACCAGACTTTGACCTTGAACAAGAATGTGCCCAGAAGAAGCTTTAGTGCTTGCTTTTTGCAAGACAAGCGCTTTACTGGAACAGCTACATGAGAAGATGGATTTGATGACTGTTGCAGTTGGAAATTTTGGACAAACAGTGAATACCTATATAGAAACCACTCAGGAATTAATCCAGGAATGTGCTTTGACAGAGCAAGTGGTGAAGAAGATAAAGGAGGAGGTTGTTGCTGAACCTCAAGTAGCAGAAATGGAGAGAGCTGCGGCCTTGCAGGAACTTAAGTTGTTGTTTTTGACGACTGAACCTGGAGAATGTCAGATTTGGAGAGATGGAGTACTGTTTGGTTTGGAGATGGGAAGCTGGATAGATCCCCCTATGCAGGGATGTTTTGGCTTTTCGGATCTGGCTTTGGGCCAGGGGGAGTTTGGAGTTGTGGGGGCCCTTAACCTTGGAGGGAATTTGAAACATGCCTTTAAATATCTTATGGATTTCAGTGTCGACTATGGAGAATGGGCTGACTTGTTGAGAAGGGATAAAGATATTGTCAAGTTGGAGTCTCCCCGAGAGAAAGGAAGGAAATGAAGAATAAGATCAACAGAAGATAAAGTAAAGTACAGGTATAAACATGAAGAAGACCTGCGGAAGGGACATGGAAAAGACCTAAGAGCCTCGGATAGAAGGTCACCAGTTGATGGACTAGATGGATGGGATAGAAGGACTGACAAAATCCGAGACCAGGAAGAAGAGACGATGGATGAAGACTGGAAGAAAGTTTTAAAAATTCATTTAGAAAATCATTGTAAAATTAATGAGTATTAGAAAAATGTTGGAATGAAACTATTTGGCTTTAGTAGAAATGTTTAAAAGAATTATGTATAAATATGTTATGCTAAAAAGAACTAGGTATAAATAAGACTTAAGTTTTAAGCTTTAGGGTTTTTTATGGTAAGATAAGGTTAAAATAGATCAAGGTAATTTAATGACAGAATATTGTGAAAGATGGAAAGGATTTGCTGAGATAATTAATAACTAGAATACAAAAAAGGGAGGTGTGAGGAGGTCGATGAAACAAGTTAATGAAAGATAAAGATTTGGGAATATTGGACTTGTTTTTAAATTTTTTGTTTATTTTTGTTTTTTGATTTTGATGTATTGTGTGATTTGTTTTTTCTTTGACTTTTGTTTTTATTGACTTGTATTGTTTAATTTCTCTTTTTGTCTACCTTTTTTCCTTTTTCTTTTTTTCTTGTTTTTTCCTTTCTTTCTCTGTAATTTTAAATTCTCAATAAATATCATTTTAAAAAAAATAATGAATGCAGCGGAGCTTGCTCTCAGGTAAGTGGGGTTAGGATTGCAACCTTAGCTGCTTATTGGGCAACAAATGTAAGTCCTCTAAGATAGCACACTGATGCATACAAACCTCCATGCTAGAGTTAAATGCTCGGTTCACTTTTGCTTTGATGTTGACAACCTGCCCAACACTAGGGATAGGAGAGAAAAGATAAATAAGATGAGAAACATTAAAATGCAATTGGTAGAAAGCATCCTGTGGTTCTGATATGCAGGAGTTCTACCTGACTGGTGGGCCCTGCTCGACAATACTGCTGTCATGGACCATTTGTTAAGATAGCTTTCTGCTCAAATCACTCCCACCGGGTGTCTAGAAGCAACACAGTCAGATTAATTCCTGAGGCCTGTAAGTTAGGTCACCTGGACAGTTCACGGAACGGCTGAGAGGAAGCACTGGATAGGCCTAGAGATTTATGGGATGGAAATTATTTTTCCCCCTCCCCACCAGGTCCCAAGTGGAAGACTTTGTAGGCCCAGGCCTCGTGTAGTTTTCCGGTTCATCAGAAAAGGGCACATAGATAAGATTTCACCCATGGCTAAACACACATTTAAATCATATCTACCTCTCTATAAAGGAAGCGGAATGTGTCATCCCTCAAAAAGTTATCTGCCTGGGTTCAGAGACGCTCAGCTTTAATATAAGCTCTCAAGCGCAATGGCAAGTCTCTCTCCCCTTTCAGTTGCTCAGTAAAAAACGAAATAAAATAAAATCCCCCAATGGTGAGAACAGAATAAGGTTAGGCAGGATAGTCACAGCCTGCCTTAAACACTTCATTGCAACACAGGACTTTCCTTAAGCTTCTCCACCAGATCAGCCCAGATATAAGATGTAGGAGTTCGTTAAGCACACCACAACATTGATATGGATAGTGAAGGATACCACCACCCTCGTGCTACAAGCCAAGTGAATCTGCTTGGCAGGAAGCCAGGCTCAAGTGCTCCCACGTGGTGTTTTGTCTAGGGGTGCTTCCAGACAGCTGTTCCTTGTGGAATCTGTGCTCTTTGTGCATGCACATTTCTGCCAATATCACTGACATTAAAAACCCGGCCCACAATTTCTCCCATTTAAATCTGCTGCAGGCAACCCACTTACAATATCCCAATGACCCATTTAGAAAACTGAGCCCCCATCTGGAAGCACCTTATGAGTAGACACAGCCTCTTTAAGGACACATCCTCTTACTGCCACCCAGTGCAATTGCTGACGAAACTCAAAGTGATGTTTTTCAGGTAGGGTCAAACAGCAGGGTAAAAACTGAATTAATAATATTTTAGAATCACACGCCATTAGCTGGAGATTAACTCTCACAGTTTAAGTGCTATATTCTGAAATGGAAGTTGTCTCAGGGTGCAGGGGTGTGTGTGTGTGTGTGTGTGTGTGTGTGTATATATATATATATATATATATATATATATACACACACATACACAAGTGGAAACAATGGATTTCAAAAGCGAACTGCCTTCATACTGGCCTTAACACCCAAAAGGTATACTATTACAATAAACACAGATCCCAAGCAAAGATTCACCCACTAACCTAGTTTCTTTCACACAAACCCTTCATTTCATTGACTAAACTCTCAGAAATTATATGCAGACAAGTAATTATTTTGCAATAAAGGCATTTGACATGCAAAAGGCACGCAAGTAAGATCAAGAACTAAATTAAATGTCTCTGTCAGAATATTGAAGATTTTGCCCCATTTCAAAGGGACGTGTTACTTAAATCAGGGAGTGAACAATTTACGAATGTTATTCCAAAACAGTTTGCTTCAAAGCACATTTTTTAAAAAAAAACAACACAGAAGATTTAGAGAGGATCAACTTCCTTCTTCTTAGAGTTGTTGGTAGTTTGTTGACAATTCTGAACTGGAAAGAACAGTCAAGAAACTAAGCCAGAAAGGTGAAAGCAACAAAACTATTCAGCTCTTTGACAGGCTATGCCAGAGGCAACCAATGTTTCTGGACTACAGCTCCCATCATCCTTAGCTACTGGCCATGCTGGCTAGGGTTGATGGGTGATGTAGTCCAACAGCTTCTGAAGGTAACCACATTCTGAACTGCAAAGCCCAGAGGTAGCTAAAAAACATGCACTGGCTCAGTTTTACTAAATGCTATGCGTGCATATTGATTATTGTGTGAATTATAAAATGATGTCTGATCTGAATGATGGACTAAAGAAAGAATTTTGCCCCACCTGGTATAGCATGACTTCTCTCATGAAGCACAATCCGATGCATGCTTCTCCAGAAATAATAAAGTCCCACTGTGCTCAGTAGGACTTATACCGCAAGACCCAGGAAAATGCAGAAAGGATTTCAGCAATGATTTGGGGTATAGCTTCTACCAAAAAATTTAGCGCATGTAGATATATGTATGTGTGTGTTTAAAACAATGGTTTGCATAATGTATAAAGAAAATACATAATGAAAAAAATAATAGTTGGGGGAAGCTATTTTTAGAGTCCCTGTGTATGACCAGAGTATTGCTAATATCTCTGGATGACACTGCACGACTGGGTTACATTTGCTGCCAGTTGACATTCAGGAAATGCATTCATATGACATTAAGTAGAAAACATTGCCCATCTGAAGCACAACTCCCGGAGAGTTGTGTGGATTTCAGATTTTCCGGATGATTTGGTCAGATGAAGCTTTTTGAACTCCTACTTTGCACTTAGGGGTCTAATTGCAGTTAATACATAACTGTTTGAATCCCTGCCTTTTTGAAAGTCATTCTTCATTCTGGTAACTAACAGGCTCCGACACTACTCACTCTTCCCCTTTAATACTCCTGATCTGGATTTAGGACATAGAAGTAAAGAGCTATTAGGGGCTGAAGTCCTCCTAATGCACCTTCTTCATTTCACAAAACACAACCTACTCCCTTTCCATCCACTCATAAGAGTACTATGAAGAAAATTAAATTGCTCCCATAAAACGAGCCCTTCATCTGGCAACTGCATCTTTTCTAGAAGCCAGAACAGCAGATGGACAAAGCATCCCTTCATTTTTCACACAACAATTTTATAGTCCCATGTGCACCCTGTGAAGAGTTACAGTTTGTTTTAGAGCCAGAAAGATGGAAAGAACATCTGCAAGCTGCAGAAAGTGAATATTACACTTTTTGAGAACCGTCTCTGTGCACAGGAAAAGCAGGCTAGTAGGTGCATTCTGAATACCGTGTCAGTTAGGTTAATTAACACCAGTATCTCAGGACATCAGTGGGTTAGGAGATCAGCAATCTAGTCTATTGCTGTAAACATTTGTACTGCAAAGGCTCATACCAGGCTTCGTCCTTCCCACATAGGCACCAAGGAGACTTTACATGCAGCTGTCTAATACAAAAGGATAAGGAGGGAAACAAAGCAAAGTGGAGCTGAAAAAGAAAGAAGTCGCCTCTCGCAATATAAAATATACATTTGCATAAACTCCGTGGGACCTAAGGGGTGTGTTTCATTACAGGACCTTAATTGTCCAACCCACCAGGTCAACATAACTGAGTGGCACTGGATCATTCTTATAGATGCTTTCCAGCTTTGGGAGAACAGGGAGAAGGATAGGCTTATACTTGGACAGACCCATATTTTCTATTCCATATCAGAAGGGGAAAATTCAGTCTACTGGACAGTGTCTGACATGAACCCAGATCAGAGTCCAAACCCCACAATTCACTAGCCTTGGGCTACTCTCCATCTAGTCCACCTAACAAGTCTGTTGTGTCGATTAAAAGGTGCTGAATAACCAGTGCTGATTCTTGCTCCCTCCCCCCATGTTTTTAAAGTGAACATTATTGGGCTTCTGACCTTGAGACAAAACACTGATCCAAGAGTTCCTGCATAGACACCTTGCTTGTACCCAAGAAGCCAACCCAAGTTAGTGGGCTACTGGTCTTAATTTACCCCTCATTTTTAGCACCATTCAAGCTGCTCTCAGGTGTGAAGACAATTCTGGCTCATATTTCTCTGCTTATTTCCAATCTGCATATGTTGTTTGCATGCTGGCGTTGATCTGGGAATATGCGGCTTGCAGGAGGTCTTGCACCTTTAATTTGTCTTTATTTGCTTCCCTGGAGCGTCATAAGCATGGATACGAGTTCTACCACTGCTCAAGTACTAAAGGACTGTTTAGAAGTTCCAGTGTTTTATATATAGTACACTCTAACCGTGATCATTATCACTTAACAGAGCACTCACAAAACATAACTTACTGTCTTCCACAGCATATGCAGCCACGCACTTTGGCTCAGAAACATCTCCCTTTGACTATCTTTTCAAGGTTTGGGGTGCTAAGCAGCATCCATGTCTTGAAAAACCTGCCTGCAGCTGCAGCACTAGCTACAGCCTCTCCTTGACAGAGCTAGCCTGGTCATAATTATCTACACTCTAGTAATATCCCATTTGGACTATTGTAATTTTTGCTATATGGGGCTGGCCTTGAAGACAGGAAACTTCTCTTGGTTCAACCCATAGCAGCTAGAGGACTGAGTAGGCAGATAGAATGCCCTTTAAAAAAAAAAAAAAAGGCACTGGCTCCTTGTCCCTCTCTAATCCCAAACAACTATGCTAGTTTTAACCTTTTAAAACCATGATCTGTTTGGGTCCACGACTGCCTGTTCCTTCATGGACCTGTCCAAACATTAAGAGCATCCACAGAGGCCCATCTCTGGGTTCTCCCCCTTTGAAGGAGAGGGAAGTGGTGGCTGGAGGTAATAGTATTTCAGCTCCAACTCTGGAATGCCCTCTTCATTTCAGAGAACCTCTCCTGGCACCAAATTTGATGTCCATTCAGTGCCAAGTAGAGACCTTTTTATATGCCATGGTTTTGTTTTTTTTTAAAAAAAGTTTCCTTGTTTTAACTATTGCTGCTCTGCCGCACTTTTACTGTGACTTGTATTTTTACTGTTTCATTTGTAAACCACTCAGAGATCCTTTGGGCCTGAAGCAGCAGAGTAGAAATATCTGAGATAAATAAAGGATCTCCAAAGCATAGCTTCTCTAGAAATTTGTAAAGGCTGACAGTGCACCTGGGTTCCCCTAAAACAGAGCTTCCCAAACTTGGGTCTCCAGTTGTTTTTGGACTACAATTCCCATCATCCCTGACTATTGATGCTGCTAGCTAAGGATGATGGGAGCTGTAGTGCAAAAACAGCTGGAGACCAAAGTTTGGGGAAACCTGCCCTAAAAACTATATGAAAGCAACATTCTGGCAAGCTCCAGAGCCCACAGACAGGCCTACAACCACAGGAAAGGCTAGGCAACATTTGCTGGAAGTGGCCAGGATACATTGTTTGTCTGTGTTATAAATGACAAGGAAGTACCAGAGGCTCACAGCTAGCTACTACTGACAAGGCTGTCAAGGAGGAGACATGCCCTTTCCCAAGCGTCCAAACTTTGGCTGAGAGAGGGCATCCAGGTGGTAGTAAATGGGACATCATAATCTGTGGCAGGAATAGAGAACCTGTGGTCCTTCAGATGCTGTTGGACTACAACTCCCTTCTGCTCCAGACCACTGGCTGGGGCTGATGGGAGTTGAAGTCCAACAACATCTGGAGGACTAACAATTCCCCATTCCTGATGTGAAGCCATATTGAGAGTCATGCAGATTGTTAGTAAATCCAGACATCTAAAAGAATCAAGATGATGGGTACTCAAGTGGAATATAAAAGATTAAAGTATTACCAAAAAAAGGCAAAACTCCAAATTCACCCATTCTTCCAACAGCTTTCCCAAAAGAAGGGCACGGCCACCCACCCCGTAAGCTAGAAAAAAGGATCTAGGTTTTTACATACCTGCCCTCTGAAAAAGAAGCCCGCTTAATCTCTCACCGCTGCCTGAAAGGTGCTTTATTAATTTTTAACACAGGCAGGTATGCCACAGAGCTTGCGCTTACCATAATGATTTCATGCCATTTGTGTAACACATGAATATATTCAAATACGAACGGCAGGATAATAAAAATTCAGCGTGAACGTTCTGTTTCAGAAAATTTGCTTCAAGGCTTTAAGTTTAAATATAAGCGCCACAGGGGAGGACCGCCGGTCAATGGTAGGACGCCTGTTTCGCATGCAGAATGTCCCAGGTTCAATTCCTGACAACTCTGTGTGGGCCTAGGAAGTTGCCTTATACCAGGTCAGACTGTCCATATATTCTAGCCCAGTATTGTCTACACCAGCTGCTTTTGGACTACAGTTCCCATCATCTCTGACCACTGGTCCTGCTAGCTTGGGATGATGGGAGTTGTAGTCCAAAAACAGCTGGATACCTAAGTTTGGAGAACCCTGGTCTACACTGACTGGCAGTGGCTCTCCAGGGTTTCAGACGGGGGACATTTGGTGTAAACCACCTAGAGCCAATGGGAGATCAAGCAGGATATAAATCCTGTTAATTAATTAATTAATTTAATTAATCCCCAGCACTAGCAGGAGGTGCGTGGGATTTAACCATATGCCTTCTGCACGTAAGGCAGTTGCTCTGTCGCCTAAGAACAGCCCACCTCAAAAGTCCTCCGTTGGGAAAGACCCATCTGAAATCCTGGAGAGTTGCTGTCAATGAAGGCAATACTGAGCTTGATAGGCAGATGGTCCTCATTCAGTACAAGGCACGTTCCTGTGCCCTGAAGGAGTTTGTTTTGTGACCTTCTTCCAGAAGAAGATGGAGAGGGGTCATCGCTCAGTGGCAGAGAGCATGCTTTTCGTGCAGAAGATCCCTGGCATCTCCAGCTGAGACGACCTCAGGAAAGGCCTCTGCTTGGTGCACTGGCGAGCCATTGCCAGTCAAGGGACATCATACAGGGCTAGAGAAACAAATACTTTGACCTGGTGTATTAACAGGAATTGAAATAAATAAAGCTGGTTAACAGAAGAACAAATATGTTCTTGCAGCTGACGCACATATCACTGTGTAAGATGATGCAGCTGCACATTTTGGCACCGGCTCGTTTTCTAAATCAGAGAGGTACAGAGGCTCAAGCCCTCTGAGAAGTCGTAATCCTATAATCCCCCAAACATCCTCCCCAAACGCCAGATGTGTCGGGTGGGCTGTGGTCAGTAGGGAAGGCAGCTTCCTGCAAATGCTCCAAATAGTCTCTTCGTTCTTGGAACAGAACCGACCTTCAAACAGAACCGAATTCAAAACAGGTCCCGAGACTGCTCCGATTAAACCTTCTATCTGGGATGTCAACTTGTGTGTAATGTTACTCTTAAATATAATACCTGAAAGGAGCTAGAGTAAGTATGTAGGGGGACAATGGGGACATGTGTGCTAGTGCTACACCCCTGGCCTCATCACCCTCCAAATTGTCAATGTAGTCCTGGAGACTCCCTGAACACTTTAGGAAACCCTAGAAAAACAGGATTCTAAAATGCATAGGGAGACCCCTAAAGTACAGGGGACTCCCCACTACAGAGGCCACTCTTCCCTGAACTGGAGGGAGATGGGACAAACAGGGGTTGGAAGGAGCATGCTTGTCCCCCTGTCTTCCCCAAATGTGCTATTTTATTTGCAGGCATAACACATGAATAGGGATGCTATAACAAGGGAATCAAAATTTCCCAGACCCTCCGCATCTGCACTGCATTCTTTGTTAAGGGCACATGCCAAAGGTGAGGCCTGTTTTGCAATGCTGCACTGAAACAGCAGAGCTGGAACACCCCATCTTAATGGATAAGGAGAAACCATTGATTTTTCAACCTAATATTTTTCATTGGCTGTCCCAGTAAAAGGAAAGGAAGGGGGGCAGACAACCCAGAGAAGTTACCCAGGCTCAAAAGGGCTAATTAACATGGCACATATTTCTACTACTTCTGCATTTTAAAAAATCCAGTTAAAAATCCAGTTAAACTGCAATGAGGCAAGGAAGTGAGGCAGTTACCTAATTGTGTGCTCAAAATAGATATCATCCACTGAAGCTGTGACGCAGGGGCAGCCAGCATGCCTCTCGGCTGAAAAGGCAAACAAACCACATTAGTTATGTACATCACTGCAGCAAACAGGGCTCTTTCTGTTCACAGTAATTACAGTTGCAGGCTTAGAATGGAAACAAGAAGCCTTGGTTGCAGGAACAAAACCGGCACCATGGTAGGACGCATAAAACTGCAGAGTCCAGCACATGCGCCTGCTATGTTAAGAAGCACTCTCACAATTATCCCCACATGCAGAATTGGGGGGGGGGGGATCCCAGGCAGGTGATCACCCAATTGCCTAAAAAGCTGCTGCTGGAACATAAGCATTCAAAATGTTTTTTCAGCTCTTTGCAAGGTTGACTCCTAAAGATTTGATGCTGGGTCTTTGGTATCTGAAATATTGTATTCAAAAGGCTACGCTTCTCCTCTAGAATGGTGGTTTACCTATATCTAGAGTCCCCAACATGCCCCCTGCCAACCTCAGGCTTTTTACTCATGTTTTTTGGCTTGGGAGGTTATTGCAAGGTTTGCCAGGTTTTTTCGAGGGTGTGGACTGTTTTATTTTGTGCTTTATTTTGGCCTATGTGTAGGTGTTTTTGCCTCTTCTTGCAGGGAGGGTGGAGGGGAGGTGGTTCTGAGCACTGTCAGCTTTTCTTCCAGGAGGTGAACATTTTGTGGTGCCCAAAACAAAGACTTCCGAACATGCAGCTGGGCCCCCGAAAATGTTGGTGATCTCTCTAATTGTATGATTATTGTTACCTTCCAAGCCTCATTTTAATTTAAGAAGGTATCTTTCCACTGTGCAATCAGCTCCATAAACAGCAATATACCCTTCTCAATAGTTTTTCAGCTTGCAAACCAGAGCAGCGCACAGAAACGCCGTTTACCTTCCCGCTGGAGGGGTACCTATTTATCTACTTGCACTTCAACGTGCTTTCAAACGGCTAGGTTGGCAGGAGCAGGGACCAAGCAACGGGAGCTCACCCCATCACGGGGATTCGAACCGCCGACCTTCTGATTGGCAAGTCCTAGGCTCTGTGGTTTAACCCACAAGCAGGTTGCTGTATGGAATAGGCCTCGGTTCTGATCCAACAGGGTTGTTCTTATGGATTGTGCAGATTCCTCTGTGGACGTCTGGCAGGTGAGCAATCCTGCCTGTCAGTGTACAAGACTAGAGTGCCTTAAGTCTTTTCCAAACCTCTGATCATTACAACAGCTTGACCTGGGCACATTTAAAGTGGAATAAGCTCATTGATTAAGCCCCTCAGATTCATCTGCTTTCAAAATGCAAGCTCCTTTATGAAGTTCCTCAGTAGTGCTTCTACAATGTAGTTAAAGATTCTAAAGGCAACATGACCAGAGGGAAAAACAAATAAGCTGCACTCTATAATAAGGACCAATAGCAGTGGGCATGGCTGCTCTGGTTTGGTTGGGGGTGGTTTCTCTCTAGCTCGCTTTGAGATATATGGCTTTTCTCCACCAGCACTTTTGGCCTGGTGGTCTTTCCCCCAGGGGATACTCTGCTTGTGCAGTTACACTCTTGATCTGCAGATCAGCAACTAGTGTTATGATAGGGAAGCTTTGAGGCACTTTTGGACACTGGTGGGACATGCGCCCCACCACCACCATTGTACCCCATGAACCCTCTTGTCACAGCCCTCCATGCCCTTCTGTCTTGCCTCTGAACTGGAAATGGGGATCTTCTTCTTGGTGCCAAAGAAAGCCTCCAGCTGCCAGCCCAGCTTAATTCAGAATTCAAAACTACACTAATGGACTGTTCATTCATGTTTTGTTTTGTTTGCCACTTCAGTTGTTCTCCATACATGTGTGCACGAACATTATTTTTATTTCACAGTCACTACTAGCTCAGGGAATAAAATATGAAGGAAAAAAAAGACAAAGTTCCAAACGAGACTGACTTTAGCTCAGAGACGTTTCTCTCACGGTTTTGTTTTTCAGAGCGGTAGGGAAGGGGGATAGAGGTCTCTAAGTGGGGAGAGCCAAGTAGTACCCCTTCCTCTTTCCCTCTGAAAGTCCACGGATCCAGGGAGCCTTCACGTGTACAGGCTTCCCCACGATATGGCGTCCCTTCCGACGTTTTCGCCCGCGCTCCCGCCCCCAGATTGATTGGCTATGAAGGAAAACAGGCGAGGCTCGCCCGTTGCCCTAAAAGCCTTTTTTTGCCTTTCCCTTGCGCGGCGAGGGCTGCGGCCGGAACTCGCTCGGTCCACCTTAAGAGCGAGCAGTGAGCAAGCTGAGGTCGTGCTCGCGCGCGCGCTTTAGATCCAGCCGAGGGCAGGTTGCCAAGAAACGAGCTCCCGCCCCTCCGCGTGCCCGAGGCGAGTCGGCGGCGGCTCACCGGAGAGGCAGGCGGCCGTGTCGATCCATTTGAGGAGCTGCCCAATGCTGAGCTCGCGGCGGTGGTTGGTGTGGCAGGGCTGCACCATCTGACTCATCTGCACCTCGGTGGCATTCCGGTAACTCTCCATGGGCCCCTCCGGCGAGCTCTGAGGGGGAAAGGAGAGAGAGAGAGAGAACAAAGCAGAGAGTCAGCGCGGAGAGAGAGCAAGACGCCGCCGCCCAGCTGGATGCCCGATTTCCTCCAGTGTGTTCTGCGGCGCGTTTAGCACACTTATTCACACACCTATGGACGCTACATCCCTTCTGGACCCATCAAAAAGGGAAGCCCCCACAACCATGGGCTTAGCCAAGCGGGAGCAGGGAGGACAGCTGCCTCCCAATCAAGCAAATAAATATAAATACTTAACTAGTAGAAATGGTCAAAAGATTCTGACAGGTTTTTCTCAGCACTTGGGGTCAAAAGAAAGTAATTAAAAACCACTGTTGTTGATATATTTCATTCTGAATCTGCTAGACAGAGCCAGGCAGAGGATGGTGACATGTGGGTGTCCTGCCCTCCACCAACATAAATCCAGGCTACCTGCCACCCCCCAACATAAATCCCGGCTCTACACCCATGCCCACAACCCACACTTTGAGGACACCTAGTGGTGGGCCAAATGCTTTTTAATAGCTATGGCAACACAAAGCTTAAAGCCGCGCTTTTGGGGGACTGAAACCACCTCAAAAAGGTTAGTTAATGGCCACCAAAGGAATTATTTCCCAAATAAATCACCTTTTTTCTGCCCCACAAATTCAAGGCAGTAGTGAAAACAATTTAGCAACTGACCAATCGCAGGCAAAAGGAGCTTCCGGTTAAACCAAACACTTCCACCACATCCCCCAAACCGAACACTTCTACACCCCAAAATCCCTCCAACATTTACCAACCCTAATCCTGGGATAGGGAATCTGGCCCTCCTGGTGTTATTAGACTACAGCTCCTGTCATCCTCAAACACCAGCCATGCTGGCTAGGGCCGATGGGAGTTGGGAATCCAACAACATCTGGAGGGCCACAGGTTCCCCGGCCCTGTTCTTTGGGGCAAGTTTGGCATGAGCTAAATCAAAAGCAGCTGTCAACTGGGAGCCAAAGGATGTGTCAGAATTTCTGATGCATATGCAAGGAGTAAACAAGGACAACACGAGTGGCAATGCAATTCTTCAAACCAAGAAGCAAAAAAAATAAAGTGGTCTGAACCAATTTGAGTTGCACAAATATTATTTTTTGATAAGGCTGGTCTCTCCAGCTGTCTTTCCATGAAAGCATTGTGCATAATGCCTGCTCAGCGACTTGATGCTTGTGCAAGCATTGTTACTGCACCCTAAAAAAAAATACTAGTTCCTGTACAAGAGATGTGGCAGGAAGAGGCTTTATTGAATCCCAGCTGACCACTTTTGAAAATATTAATAACAGCCAGTAACACTTTCCCAAGACTAGTGTATTATTGATGCTTCCTGATTTTCATTTGTGACTTCCTACCCAATGACCCACCTTAAACCAGAGGGTCTGTTGAGGAAAACGCAATGTCTTGCAGCACCTTAAAGACCAGCAAATCGGCATAAAATCTCTGACATTTAGTTATTGTGGGGGGGGAAATAACATGACTTATGGGTCTCAAAGGGACAGGAAGATTCTGGCCATTTCTACTCAGTATGGTGGGATTTATTTCATATAGTTTATAGTTTCAGATTTATAGGTATCTCTCCCTGCACAGTCTAGATAAATATGGATGTCATGATCCTAGATTGGCTGTTATTATTTAATATGTTTTGGGCTCTGTATGCTATGGCTTTAGTTGGATATATTATGGTTTTGTTGTTGTTTATCTGTGGTTCTATCTTAATTTGAAAACTAATAAAAATAAACTGAAAAAAGACTTATCAAATCTAGTCTACGAAAGTGCATGCCACACCACAGTCCATCAGATGCATGAAATGTAATCCTTAAACTGCAGGTAAATATGCACACATAACATTTGCATTATTGGATTCTACTCGCAAAGCAGGGTTGGTAGTAACACAAACATCTTGGCATTGGTAAACTACTGAAACACATAACACAATTTTAAAAACCCAAAACTTTACCAGCTTTGAGATAAAAGCAAGAGTGGAAGCTTTTCTTTCACCTCAGTGGACTAATTGGGATGTCCTTTCCTAATTGGGATGATAATGGTTAGTAGTCCTCATGACATGGAGAGAATTGTTTTCCTGCTCACAACAGGATATTTCAGAAACAGCAGCACAGAATTCACCCTCTTCTCATGCTCCCGTCCACTTGTTCAACGCATGGAGGGAGTGACCTCTGCACATCAAGCAGAGCACAAGAATGGGCTGTATCATACATAGTGTATACAACTGAGTGTACAGGCCATACATACACTGCTTATGTAGTGCCTAACCCATGGAAATCAAAGGGCACAATCTCACTCCCCTCCACAAAAAGATTGAATGTGTGGAGCAGAATGTGATAGTGGCACTCTTGGCTATAATAACGAAGTGGGCAAACACTTTTTGTACACAAGCTGTGCCATGTCAGAACACAGGAAAGGCTTAAAATAAAGAAAAGGTTTAAAAATGGCACAGCATCTTTGAACAACTAGCCCCCAAGTTACTGTGCTGAGCCTCAGTGGTGTTGAACAGTGAATGCACCTATGAGACTTGCACAAGCACATTCCCTGATGCAATCAAGATGACAATGAATGAGTTATCTGGGGAAAGGATCACCTTTGCTCGTTAACCCTTTGGAAATGAGAGAGTGTTGAAACAATTGCATGCTGTAAAAAGGAACGTTTGTGGAGTACAGGCAGCATGCTTTAAGCATGCACTTTTAATGCACACACACAAAAAGATGGCATGAAGAACTTAAAAAATATATCCATAGCAAGTGTCAGCCATGCACATGGGAAGTGGAGAAAGAAAGAGGGAGGCAGGCTCTCCTTGCAATCTTCCTTTTGGCACTGGGAGTTTGAAAAGAGGAACGAACTTGCAGGATATACTTCAGACAAGACTACAGATTCCTCAACATTACTTTCACCCAATATGGATATTAATACTGGTCTTTGGGAAATAATATATTTGATGGTACAAACATCCATTTTGTTTCTCATATATGTGCTGGGAGGCAACTATATATAGTGACTTCCTGATCAGTTTTTTCAGAATCAAAAGGTATTTGTGACATCATTACCCTATTCTATTTTACATTTTGTCTAGGATACATTTGTTTTGTATATTAGAAAAAAAACATAATACAGTATTATTTTAGGCACCAATAACAGCCCTGAGGCGGAGCAGGGAATAAGAAAAGGTAAAAGGGAGGCCATCAGGGGTTTGCATTGAAACGAAACTTCTCTCTGGCAAACCTACTACACCCTTCCTAAACATAAGCCATTCCACTTCACTGCTGTTATAACAGACTCCCCTTTCACATAAGCTTGGACACGAGAAGCTGGCAATTATTTGCTTTGCTGAAACACAAAAGCTGGGATTTGCTGAGAGGGTTAGGCGCTCAACAGCCACTGAAGTTCAGTGATTCTCGTAAGCCACATACACACAAAGCGGGAGTTGCCCTGGCTTAGGGGTTAACCCCCTACTGTGGTCTACCTGAAAATTCATTCATATAAGCACCTGAACTCTCGGAAGTGCTCTTTTTTATATACAGTGGTACCTCGGGTTACAGACGCTTCAGGTTACAGACTCTGCTAACCCTGAAATAGTACCTCAGGTTAAGAACTTTGTTTCAGGATGAGAACAGAAATTGCACGATGACGGCGCGGTGGCAGTGGGAGGCCCCATTAGTTAAAGTGGTAGCTCGGGTTAAAAACATTTTCAGGTTAAGAACGGACCTCCAGAATGAATTAAGTTCTTAACCTAAGGTACCACTGTAGAGGGGTCCTCCATCACCGCATCACTTTACAGAAGGACCTTTCCTGACTGAGAAAGGTGCTGGAGTAATGCAACATGGGCTATCCAAAATTGACCCTGGAGCAAATATGCATTTGGGGGGTATAAGCAGAAAAGACTTTTCCACACAGACCTTTTCTCATTATTTTTGCCAGGGTTTTGGAAGACAGTGGAAAAAGTCGGTTTTTTAAAAGGGCTTGAGTTTTTGAATGTATGGGGGTGTGGTGTGGGGAGGTGTAAAACCGGAATCTTTCGAAAAGAATAGTCATAATGTTTAAATTGGAAAAAATAACAGGGAATCCAAATAGCAGATATGAGGGTGCTCACATACTAGTATTACAGTAAAAAGAAAAAAGAAACAAAAAGCATATATGCTCCCTGAAGGGCCCCATTTGGTCAAAAGATTAGATTTATTTCATTAAAAAATGTTAAAATAACACACTTTGTTGCATTTTGCTTGGTCCCAATAAAGGTACTGCCCAATTGCGAATTTTAGAGTTTTTAAGAAACTGTAAGCTTGGAGTGTGTTTTGTGATATGTAAATGTGTTTATTGGAACTGTAGAGCATCCTTGACGGATACATCAGCACATGATCATTCCGAATGACTCTACTATTTAAGGTAGATCAAGTTACTAGCCTGAAATCCTTTCTCCTTTCTGTATTGCATGCAAGTTGAAGAGTTGGAGCCAAATGAAAACTATATAGATGTTTGTTTCTAACAAACCATCTATACATTAACAAATGTTTTTGGTGTTTTTTCAATTGCCCAGATAGTTTCTTTGGCTACTGTCCTGCACAGTTAAATTGCTCTTATCCAACTGACTACAGCCAGGGTGAAGGTGCCTAACTGTGCAAAGGCTACCAGCTTCGGCTTCTGCATTTAGATTTCTCTCTCTCTCTCTCTCTCTCTCTCCCTTCCCCTCCCCACTCTCATATATGTTACATACACATATAGACACACACACATTACATAGAATTTAAATACTTATAAAAATTATCAGTTGTCTTGTTGGAATATCAGTAGCTATGGAAATATAATCAAACACACACACAGTGCAATTTCACAAATTCTAAAATTCTAAAGTCCAATATAAACAAAAGAAACATTGTCTGTTCTTCAGATTGTTTTCTACAGAAAACACCTTGCAGGAAAAATGGGGAGAAGTGCTTGTAGACCTCAATCTCTTGATTGTCTTTTAATTTTTAGATTTTGACCCGACAGTTCCCTTTTTATACCAATATTGCAGCAAAATAATCTGAAGATGAGTAATTCACTAGACATCAGACACTAGCCTGGAATTTGGCCTGAACTTCTCTCATCTAGGCCTAGATGTGCCCCACTCACTTGTATCATCAGGAGTTCTTTGTCGTAACAGCTTGGAATTGACGCAACAGGGAAATAAAAGGAAGCAAATACAGGCTGCAGTGGGAGCAATCTTCCCATTAAAACAGTTTCTCTGGGTCAACAACAACAGAACGCATCCCCTCCTTTTGGGCAGATCCCACTTTTCTCAGTACTTCTAGGAGTGTTCTATTTAGATAACTGCTGATACAACCTAAGGTTCTAGAAGGACTGGTGTTTCCAAAGGCAGGTAGATCTCACCATCCTGCAGGAAAAATCACTTCCAGTTTCTCTCCCAGCCATTGATTAACTCAGGGAAGCCAAGACCCTTTCACTGATAATTAACAATACAGACATGCCACAAGAATTCTACTGGGCTGAACAAACGTCTGTTACAACTGTATGTAACTGGCTGCCACTTAAGTCAAACCTACTATCCAATTTCAAGTCAATTCCATGCCTACACACAAGTGATAAGCCAGGATACCTATATTTAGCAGCTTTGGGGCCACTTACAGAGTCATCAGCCAACCAAATCTCTCTCTCTCTCTCTCTCTCTCTCTCTCTCTCTCTCTCTCTCTCTCTCACACACACACACACACACACACACACACACACTTTTGATGTCATGTAAACTGTCGACTTGGCAATGTGGTTCTTAAGAATTTTGCTACATTCAAGTGCAAATATGTAATAGGCAGGTTGCAAGTTGTTATGAGAACAAAATTCTACTGGAAAAACAAAAGGCAAGCAAACTTTTGAAGTACACATTCAACAATAATGTTTTCATACAACTTCCTTTCCAAAGCAAGAAGTCAAGCTGCCTCGTTCCACTACTGCTCTGTCCGCTGCTGACTTTGCTCTTGGGAGCAACAACCTGAACTGCTCCAGGAATGCTGCTGCTCCTCCCTCCATCTCGGCTCCAGGCACACCTTGCTCACAGGTCTTTTCTCCTGGAAGCACGAAACCCAACTCCTGACATGAGTGTTACACGCCACCCCAACCTCTGTGTGGTGCAAAATTCCAGGAGTCCAGCTGCTTGCCCAGGGTTCGTGTTCTCCAAACCTTGATTAAATTCTAACATTTACTAAATCCAGGAATTGTGGGTGCTTTGCGCCCACAAACTCTGGCACCCAAACTCATAACAATACAGCAATAAAAAATATAAGCAGCACAGAAGTGGCCACACATAAGGGAATGTTGGCAGTAAACAGGACTGAGAAAATGGTCGATGCTCAGTTCATAGATTTTAGGGAGAAATAGTTCTGCTCTCTGCAAAAGCACCAGTTTCAAAACAAAAACTAAAATCATACAGGCCACCCCTACTTTTAAGCAGTTACCAGATCAGAGGCTTCCGGTTGTCTCAGTACACATTACTATGACAGAGATTAAAGTGGTCTGGTGCTCACCTACAAGTAATAAGCAATTTAGCTCCATAACCATTTTTCTGTGCAAGAGTATTTGCGGCCATAATGATCTAATAGCATTTATGTGGGTGAAACAAAAGAACGTTTGATATGGCATTAAACATGCTGTACAGTGCATGTTTGATTTGATTAGGAGTAATGGTGGTTCCTTTATCCGCCAGCCAAGTCTAGTGAAGAGTAATGTGCAACACAAAAACTTACACATTCTCTTATAACCAGTTTGTTAGTTCCCTAAAAAAGGAATAAAGCACAATCCTACCTTACCTATTTTTCCTTTCCCCATACTTCATTCTCCAATATGGCAACAATAATTTAGACTTATTAATCAAACTACTCCAGCCTAACAGAGATAAAAGATTTGAGCAGTGACAACATGGATCAAGCTTTCTGGGAGTGTTTTGGAAAGCAGGTCAGTGGCCGCCTGCTTTCTTTGACGAACAAGTTTGTCTTGTGCTCTGCCTAGAAATCTCCACACGCCTCACATGACTTCAGCTGCAATGCCAGGAGTGAAACGTCCAGGAGCTGCCGAAGGAGAGCAATTTAGTGACAGCCCAGGCGCCCACATGAGAGTGAATCAGAGCGAGCCTCTAGGGTGGTACTCCAATTGAAAAGGGATTGCTGGGTGTCATTGCGACAGCAAATGGAGATAATCAAGGGCATTGTTTTTCTGAAATGAAGCATGGGAAGAGTTTAAAAATAGAAGAGAAGATTTGGACAAAAACAGAAACCTCAAGCCCATACTTTAGCCCAAATTGTTCACCATCTGACATTCCACCAACCTTCCTTCCTCAGGCTGCTGTTTTGGAAACAGGCCGGCCAGTGCCAGAGACACAAATGCAGCAGTATGAGAGGGAAAGAGAAAAATTCAGGTTTACCGGTATTTCTGATCTTTGTAACCTGGATTCTCGTTGAGTCTAGCAGTAGAAGTTTGCATCCCTAGAAGCTGGCAGTCTTGGCACAAATCAGGAAAGAAAGCTTCAGAAGGCGAAGAGGGAACAGAACAGAGAATTGCACCAACTTGTGCTTCCCCTTATAGACGTAACTTGAAGCAGCCATCAACAATATTGAGTCAAAAGGTCTGTTTAAGTGCAAATCCAAGTCCTGTATAGCAAGATGTCTGTCTTCAACTGCCACGGCTCCAGCCAACAGGGAATGGCTCAAAAAATCAAGGATGGTATGGGACAGTCCAACTTTCACTCTAAACCAGTGGTGACAACCCCTATAACCACACCCCCAGATAGTGTCCATACCCACGCCCCCCCAGGATTCCTGGGGGCTGTAGTCTGTTAAGGGTGCTGAAAACTGTTAGGGAGACCCCTATTCCCCTCATAGAGGTACAGTTTCCAGAATTCCTTGGGAAGAGGGATTGTTAAACCACTCTGGAAACTGTAGTTCTGTGAGAATAGGGCTCTCCTAACAACTCTCAGCACCCTTGACAAACTACAGTTCCCGGGATTCTTGAGGGAAAGCCATGACTGTTTCAAGTGGTATGATACTGCTTTAGATGTATAGTGCGGCTGGCAAAGAGCAGTGTAGTGGTTAGCATGGTGTACTTGGACTGTGGAGAACTGAGTCCACATTCTTGATGAACCATGGAGTTGGCAGTGCGACCTTGGCCGTTACTGGTCTGAGCCTAGTCTGCCTAACAAAAGGCATCACGGGTAAGGCCTGAACTGTCCTCCAATCCCCAAAGTGAGACCCACTGGCAAATTTTATTTACTTAATAAATTAATATATTGCCCTTCCTCCTAAAGGAGCTCAGGACAGCAGGTACTGCTCCAGCAGATACTGCCATTGCTTCTACTTTGCATTTTGCCTCTGCTGCATTCCTGCTTTCAGCTGCATGCATAGGCTGCCACAGCAGTTGCATTTGGCTTGCAACATGGATCCTCCAGCTTAAATGCTCACTGTTCTAATACCCTGTCTATTAATCCTTTGGTTGTCATGTGGGCTGAGGAAAAGCAGAAGGAAATTAAAAAACAGGAATTCATGGACAGCCCTATCACCCCAGAGGAAATAGATGCGGTCCTCAAAAACCTGAAACCACACAAAGCCCCAGGCCTAGACGGCTTCACAGCAGAATTCTACAGGAAATTCAAAGAACCCTTGATGCCCTACATGACCCGCCTATTCAACGACATCATAAAAGGGGGCCCCATCCCCAAAACCTGGACCCACTCCAAAATAGTCTCCATCCCAAAACCACTAAAAGACAGCCTCAAAGTAGAATCATACCGCCCAATCTCATTAATAAACCAAGACTACAAGATATTCACATCAATCTTGGCCAACCGCCTAAAAATCTTCCTACACAAGTTAATAGCCCCAGACCAGACTGGCTTTGTCCCTGGCCGCAATATAACAGACCCCATCAGGAGACTACTGAACCTGATCGAACACAGCAGGGCAACCAAACCCCCATTGACAATTATGTCCCTAGACATCCTCAAAGCCTTTGATTGCTTAGAGTGGAAATACATATTAGCAGTACTAACTAACATGAAATTTGGCCCCAACTTCCTACAAATCCTCAAACAAATATACTCCCAAGCCTCAGCAAAATGCAGAACTAACAATATGGATTCTAATACTATAGCTATCCAAAGAGGCACGAAACAAGGATGCCCACTGTCTCCCTTCTTATTTATCCTGGCTCTGGAACCCTTAGCAATCCGCATCCGAGCAGCCACAGACATCAAGGGAGTGGAAATAAAAGGCAGAACCTATAAATTAGGGCTCTTTGCAGATGACCTAATGGTCACAACACCAGACCCCATAAGCACAGCAACCTTCCTAATCAGAGAACTCAACACATTTGCAATGGTGTCGGGCCTACAGGTAAATTTTACAAAGTCAGAAGCTATGTGCTTCAACACCCCTCCTCACACCCAAAAAGAACTCACGAAGGTCACCAAAATAAAACTTTGCCACACCAAGTTCAGATACCTAGGGGTACAAATAACCAGAAACCTCAATAAATTGTACCTCCACAACTACAAGCCCCTGTGGCGACAAATTAACAAAGACCTAAAGAGATGGAATAACATGAATTTCACTCTCTCAGGCAAAATAGCCATGATCAAAATGATCACACTCCCAAAACTAACCTACCTATTCCAAACCCTCCCAATCTGGATCCCCTCAACCCAACTTCGCAGTTGGCAGAGAAAACTACACTCTTTCATCTTCTCACATAAAAACCAAGAATAAGCCTCAAAAACCTGCACCTCCCCACCTCAGAAGGAGGATGGGGAATCCCCAACATAGAAGCATATTACAATGCCAACCAAATATGCCATATAATCCCATATATACTAGAAGATGAGACAAAACAATGGGTACACCTAGAGAGGGACACAATTGAAAATACCTGCACCACGACATACCCACTCCTCCCAAACAAACTAAAGAAAATTCCCACAACACTTAACAGGTACACACAGACCACACTCAAAGCATGGAAAACACAAATAGGCAAACTATCCCCAACCCCATCCCCACTAATCCCCCTGGCGTACCACCCATTATTCCACCATGCAGCACAAAACCTCCAGATAAAAGCCTGGCAAACCAAAGGCTTATATCGCCTAATAGACTTTTATAAAAATAACAAACCCTTGTCAACACAAGAAATACAAGACAAACTAGAAGACACCCAAATGCCCTGGTTAACACAACACCAACTACATGCCCTCTTAAACAACCCAACAGTAAAATCAGCAGCAACTAGGCCCCTGACAACCTTCGAAAACCTCTTCCTAACAACAAAGGGAAACGGTAAAGGGACGGTATCCGCAATATACAAAATACTACTCCAAAATCCCGCAAATCCCTAGATGCAATCAAAAAACAATGGGAGAATGACATAGGCTATGAGATTAACCCCACTCAATGGACCAGAATGTGGTCTAAACCCCCTTTAAATCCATATCAACGAAAAGAAAAGAACTCACACTGAAACTCACCTACAGGTGGTACCTAACACCAAGGAAACTAGCGCTAATACACCCAGGAACCTCACCAAAATGCTGGAGAGGGTGCACCTCCACAGGCACATACCTCCACATGTGGTGGGAGTGTCCCAAAATCCAACTATTCTGGACAACAGCCATACAAGAAATATGTAAAATAACTAAGCAAGTAATAGACATCACCCCAGAATTGGCCCTACTAAACATCTTCCAAGACAACAATGCCCATTTACACCACAAAGAACTCATAACCCACCTACTTTCAGCAGCCAGAAACACCATAACCAGACACTGGAGAGACCTGTCAGGAGTAAACATGGACCAATGGTACCAAATAGTATGGGAAACAGCCCTACTAGAAAAATTAACTAATAAACTGAAACTGACACGGGGACAAACAGAAGAAGACGCCTTCACCCCAGTATGGCTCCCTATATCACATACACAGCCCAACAGGACAATGACAATAATCCACCAACAGCATACAAATCAATATGGCTAACCTGATCCAAAACACCCACCCACCTCACTCACACACGAAAACAAAGATCACCACAGCCAATCACAAGCAAACAATCACACCCTAGGCCAACCCCAACCTCTCTCACCACCAAAGGAACACAAGTGAACAACACAAGCAACGCTGACACCAAACTCTACATACATTAAACATAATAGAAACACCGCCACCCGACCCCACCCCCATCCATCTTCCCTCTCTCCACCCCCCCTTTCTTTTTCCTTTTTTTCTTCTCCCCCTAATGCCTCAACAAATGAAACAGATTTGTAAAAATGTTACATGGAGAAAAAAAATACGAGGCATTACACTTCTGTAAAACAAGAAAATAAAATTTTTTTAAAAAGGAAATAAAAAAAAAAATCTGAATGCTCACCACCAACCTTTGCACCTTTCATTAGCACCTGGCAGAAGATGAAGAAAAAATCAGTTGTGCAGACCAAGACCACCCCTAGAAGAACAGTCATTCAGAGCAAAGACTTTCCCAACTCACAATTTCAATAGGAAACACAGCTCTTTTCCCAGGCGAGTCATCACATCCTGAAACTATGCAACACGAGGAAGGAGCTTTTCTTAAGAACTGAAAAGTCAACTAACTACTTTTTGTTGTGGCAGCAGGATTCAAGACAACTGAATTATTTCAGCATATGAACGGAAAGGTTTCCCTCAGCTTCAGGAGAACCAAATTCCTAGAACAGCCCCTTTGACACCACTGCTCAGCGGACTGCGAAATAAGTGAGAAGTGCTTACCACAGAATACAAAGAGCACACAGTACGACGACATCATTATTTGACCACAGGACAGCTCGCATTTGTATGCCAAGGGCTTCCAGAGAAAGGGTCTTTGTCTGCATTATGAAGTCTAGATGTGACGATTGTGCAGCTAAAGTGTATCACATCACAAGTAGACCAACATTTGGTATTTTCATAGTGCAGCTTTTTAAAAAGAAGCCTCTACTCCTGCACGCCTCCCCTAAGCAGCCCTAAGGGGCTGTGAAGAGTTGTCTGTAAACATGTGGAAACACCTGCCCCATAGGCATGCCACCGTATGGGCCAAGTGGGCCACAAGGTGGAATCAGTGTGAAATGTAGGTGCCAGGTTCTGATGAAGATCCTGGGTTCCAATGGAACTATCATTGCATTTCAAGGGCATTATACTTTTCCATCGTTGTGAACCTTAGCACGTCCTGTGAGCCCCTTCAACTCTTCGTCTTTGTTTTCTATTAGTGTTGGCTCATCACACTTGGCCCTTCTTCAGAGCGAGGTGGTGAGACTGCCAGTGCCCCCTCTGCTAACACAACAAAATGCTAAGTGGAGGAAGAGGGGCAATGTGCGTGTTTGCATGTGTGTGTGAAACTGCAACCCGCCAGCCCTGCTGAGCTCCTTCATCTGGCTAAGAGAAACAACCAACGTAAACCTTCCCAGCCACGGATTTCAGTGGTGGTTCTGCCAAACTACAGGGTCCTGAAAGCAGCAAACCACAAAGAACACATGGAATGTGTTGAGCATACCTTTGAAGTACATAATAGAAAGGCTGCAAAGCAAAAATTTGAGAAGCGCCATGTTTGGAAAAAAGAATAATCAATCAAGATCCTTTATTAGGCATAGCAAACCACACATTATCAAACAAACACCATATACAAATTGTGCAAAATATGAACTCAACGTAACAAGGTTTGTCCCAGTCGTATCTAAAAAAGAATAATGAAATCACATGTACATTAACCTGGAAGTTACTTCCATTGGATATAGTGGAAGCTGCTTCAGAGCAAACATGCATAGCTGCATGCCTGATACCTGCCATTCCTGATCTTCCAGCAGCTAAACCCCAAGCAGGAAGCTCCCTGGAACTAAACTAAGTACAGGGAGGGGCTCAGTGGACTGTCATAAAGAATTCTATACATTGCAAGCATATAGCGTGCAAGCAATAGAGTCTAGATTTTCCAATTGCATGTGAATACTGGCTCGGAATGTGAAACTCACATCCCTGGCAACTGCCCATGTGATTTGAACCTCGAAGAATGACTTTTTTCAGGACTATTCAAACAACCATTCTGAGAAGGACTGCAGGTGCCAAGCAAAGGCATACTTGAGTCCTGCTCACTGTGAAATAGTTGGGTAGTTCCTTTGCCTCAGCGCTGCCTGCCTTTGCTAATTTTAGAGCAATTGCATTGGACTGGGAGTCATGCCTGCAGAAAAGGAGGCACTTCTCCTGGTGCCCCCACCAAGTGAGGCACAACATGTGGTAAGGGCCTTCTCAGTGGTGGCAGCCTAATTTTGAAATTAGGTGTCTTCGCTATGGATTTTACACAGCACCAAGAGAATACTTTTTATATTTCCAGGCTTTGTAAGTTTCTAAATCCACTGAAATTTAGATAAGTTTTAGTGACATTGTTCTGCTGCTGAATGTTTTTTACGCTGGAATTTATTTAATGTTTCTATAGTTCTGCAGTTCATGGATTTTAATGCTTTCATTGCTTGTAAGCTACCCATTGTTTGGGTGGCATATAAAAGCTGTCAATAAACAAACAAGTTGTCACATGATGACTTCACAATAAGCATAAAAGCCCATGTTTTCACAACTTTAAATACTCATTATTTGTTTGTTTTGTATTTAAAGCCCACCAAAACTGTCACAACTGAAGCAAGCACAATTCAAACTAAAATCACAGCAGCAAAACTACAAAACTAACCAATAACAAAATTAATGAAACAGCAGCAGAGAACAGCAATATAGTCAGAGGGAAGACACCTATTCAACCAAAGACCTGGGTAAAGAGCTATGTTTTGACCAATCGTCAAACAGTTGACAAGAGGCTCCTCAGAAGGGAGGCCATTCTGCAATGTGGGGGCCACTACAAATAAGGCCACCTCCCAACAACACTGCTCCTCAAACAGCAAAGAGTGGTGGCACTGCCAGCAAGGCCTCCATTGCAGTGCAGTGAAGAGAGCTTTATATTCCTTCAGCTTGATATGTGGAGAGACCCACCTTTTTAGGTATTTAAAGCAGCTCCCACATGGCAGCCATAACATGTGCACAGGTCTTGGGGCAGCTGCCATATTTCTTGTGAAGGAAGCCTACACTAAATGAGATTCTTGATCAACGATATGTTGCAAAACACAGTTAAGGCTCTTCTCAGTGGCCTGATATTGGTCATGACGACTTATATGTCGTAACATCATGGGAGGAGTGTTTCCAGCTCCCCTGCCCTTGGAAGCCGTGTAAGAAACTGCAGCAGGAGGGGAAGCTGAGTAAGACCACAGGAGGAATTGCTGCCTGACTGGTAACGTCAACAGGGCAGTGGTTTGTGGGGGAAGTCAAGACAAATATATTTGATCACACTGACTTGATCCTTGGCTAATGTGCAGCAGACAAAACAGCAGTGGCTGGAACATCTAGGACCAAGGCAGAACTGTTCAAACTCCTTTGCTATTTTTGCTATTGCCAGGAAGAGTAATGTTGATACATTTTATGTACTGAAATGCTTTTTAATGCAGTAACATTTACCGTACGTTGCTGTTTTGACATTGCTGTTATTATGAAGCCTATGGACCTGTTTGTGACACCTCAGTGGTCCATTTACAATATTAAGCCAGCTTCTGGAAGCACCCTTGAACAAGGCAGGCAAATAAAAGCACCTTTAGCAACAGCACTGGCTGTTGTTGCTTCATGTCAGGGCTCAGTTACACCATCAATGCTGTTAGTCCTAAATGCTGTTAGATTTTGGGCTCCGCCACACTTCTACTTGCCCCATGCCTAGAAAGCATGAATCCAATCGGTTTTCCATTTGTCCCGTGCCTACTAGGCATGGGTTCAAGCAGTTCTGCTGTTGCCCCACCACTTTTCCCTGAAAACCCCGCTCTTTAGCGCTAAATCAGAGCAAACGTCAATCCAGAGGAAACCTGAGGGACATTTGCTCCGATTCATCTGTAAACAACAGGGAAAGCAGAATTGTGTGGGAGTCCTTACTGGACAAAAGACAACAGTGACCCTTCCAAAGACCACAGGGCACTAGATCTTGTGTTTCTGAACCCTCTTCAGTGTCACTACCTCCATGACTTCCCAAACCACCTGACTCTTGTGAGTTTGAGAATTCATCTTCCAACAGCCACAGTCCTCTTGTCTCCTCCTCCCCTGTAAATAGTAATAATAATTTATTATTTGTACCCCGCCCATATGGCTGGGTTTCCCCAGCCACTCTGGGCGGCTTCCAACAGAACACTAAAATACAATAGACTATTAAACATTAAAAGCTTCCCTAAATAGGGCTGCCTTCAGATGTCTTCTAAAAGTTCGGTAGTTATTTTTCTCTTTGACATCTGGTGGGAGGGCGTTCCACAGGGCGGGTGCCACTACCGAGAAGGCCCTCTGCCTGGTTCCCTGTAACTTAGCTTCTCGTAGCGAGGGAACCGCCAGAAGGCCCTCGGCACTGGACCTCAGTGTCCGGGCAGAATGATGGGGGTGGAGATGCTCCTTCAGGCATACTGGGCCGAGGCCGTTTAGGGCTTTAAAGGTCAACACCAACACTTTTGATAAATCTTTTGTCGGTTTCCTGCTGGTCCTTCTCCTACATCACAGTGGATTATTATTATTATTATTATTATTGGAATTTTATACTGGCTAAGTGCTTTTAATTGAGCCATCATTCAACAAAGATCTTCCAGAGATTTTCACCTCAGAGTTTGGTGCCAACTCTAAGGCCTAGATGATAGGGAAAGACTATCCCAACCACATAATAGCTTGTGCTTTTTCAGAGCCTCTCGTGGTCCTGTTTTAGGGCCAAAACACTGAGGCAGTAGTAGTAATAGTATAGCAAGCAGCAGCATGTGAAATTCCCATTCAATAATGTGCTTGGAAGCCCTGTCACCAATCAGTTCTGAAAATGTAGACCTGGGTGGGAGTCGACAAGCAAGCTAGGCCATTTGATAGGTTTTAGACAGCTCTACGATGCCAGCTCAAAAATGTAAAAAGAAATGCACACCTAGGAATAAAAATGGAAGAGGTGCAAAATGCTAATTTTCCCTGCCTGAGAATTAATTCTAACAGAGGTTTTGATCAGTTCTCAGAAGATAGGCTTTTGTTTACTTGCCCTTCAGGAAAGGAAAGCTAATGACACTAATAAATGACTATTCAATATGAACAATAAGAGAAAGAAAAAGTGACAAGCTGTTAACTAGACAAGCTGTATAATTAAGGCCAAGCTGGTGGTGGAGGTTGATTTTTTCCCCCTTCAGAGAACAAGGACTCTGGAGCTACAGCAAAATGTCTCAGTTCTGGAAATTAGGCTTTAAAATGAAGAACATTTAATGTAATGAAGACAGAAACTTGACATCACCTTTGTTGTCATATTAAATTGCCCTCTCTTGAATGTATTTAGCTACATAAAAAGGAATTAAGGACAGGTTCTAATTGCTCCAGTCTCCTACAAGAAATTTCTTTTCCCTTTTTCTTTTTAAGAGAGGTTGTGTTCGACAGGATCTCTGCCATTAATCAGGTGCCTTCCCCTGAAGTTAACAAATCCTGCTTAAAGAATGGGATCTGGTGTTAACATGGGGTGTGATTAGAAAGGACAGAAGCCTTTGAAAGCAAAGGCATTGAAATCTGGCCTAACCAAGCAGGAGTCAGTCAGTAAGTCCGATTCTTTCCTTTTTTAAGTCACAGCATGTCTCTGCAGAGAAGACATTAAAAGCCAGTGGACAAAATCCTAGAGAACACACCGCAATAGAAAACTTTGTATTCCTAACAGGAATTAGACATCCTAACGGGCCTTTCCCCTTCCCTTCAGAGTGTGCAGGATCAGGGCAACAGCCTCTGAATGTGCAGGAATGCAACTTAATATTCACAGTGCAACATTCATAAGAAGTCACAGCACGTCTGTGCCACTGCAGAGATTGGATATTTATGCACAGCTTCCCCCCCCCCCAAGTATTGTTGTGAAGGGGGGTGGGCTTGCTTTGCTTACGGCTAGTTTTTACTCTTCCCTGGCCTAGCAGAGGCAGTATGCAGATGTTTGCATCTGAGGGAGGGGAAAGTGGAAGGAGGCACAGAAAAGGATATGGAAAGCAACGCTGGCAAAACAGACCTACTGTATCTGGATTAGAAATACATTAAGTCATGCTACCCAAGATGTAAAACTCCAGAGGCCCAATTCATGTAAACAAGCTTGTGGAAAGGGGAGGGTCAAAATAAGCATGTGTCAAAAGCAGGCATATTTGCATGTCAAATGGGTTATACTGTATATGGACATTATGTTATGCATGACCATCCCCCACCCCCGGTTGTTTCTAATGCGGCCATCACACATCAGCTGATTTGTAGGCCAGAAATTATACAGCAACAGTGGGCAGCATGGAAGAGAAGGATACAATCAAACCTACTTCCAGCCAACAACCTTCCAGCCCCTAAATTCTGCACTAGCTGCTGTTTCCCATCTTCACAGGTACCCCATGCAGTGGATACTAGTCCACAAGAGGTGCTGGGCTGGGTCACAGCCCGCCCAAGGAGAATGTCAAGCAAAGACTGTTGTTGTTGTTGTTACTGCTGCTGCTGCTGCTGCTGTGCCCCTAAGAGTTCAAAGCATCATGCTCCTTCCTGTCCCATACACATTTTACACTTCTAATTATATTTGGAGAAGCTCTGCAAACATCTTGTTCCACCTACTGTTATCTGGCCAATAAGGTCTCTGCAGCATTCAGCCAATCTGAATTCAAAAGTATAGTTATGGCAACGAGGTCCCTCCTATGTGCATCTAAACAGAAAAACCATGTGACTGATCAAGCTTCTGGAAAGTCAGCCCAGTGCGGAAGACTCCTACTCCGTCTGTTGTTATGACGGCTCACCAGCATTCACTGTATTGGTCTACTAGCCTTGAAGGGTAGTTCAAGCACGCTCTGTTTCCTTGAAAGTCATGCCTCAGAGCATTCCTTGCACTAAGAAGGAGAAGGGAGTGGTAGCTAGCATGAAAGATTGTTTTTAATTACTGTTTGTTAAAAGACAGCAATAGCGGGCAGCATGTAATAGTATCTTGATAGAACTGCAACTTTTCCTTAAGGTAAAAATGTTCTCTCTATTTCTCCATCCGCTTAGAAGCCTATTTTGGCATTTAGCAATATATACATTACATAACAACAGCCTATGCTCAGAAATCTGGTGGGCACAGAAAATTGCCACCTGAAGAGCCTTTCTTACAGGTGCCTTTTTGCCACTCAGTAATTTGTAAACTCAACCTCAGTCCTGTGCTACAGGAAATTTTAACCCTCCGTGCATTAAAATTAAAATGGCATGTGCAAATTACCAATCTGGAGAGCAGAGGGGCAAACAGTCATTGGCCCACAGAAACCATATTAAACTGGGGGAGAGGCCGTGAAAGCCATTTACCAAAGCAGTCACTAGCATACATTTTGAACCACAGCAACCAGGCTGTGGAAGCAGCTGGCATCGCCCTGAGCACAAGGAGGTCAGAGATGACGGATGGCTTCAGCTTACATGATGCACGCACCACTTGTACTTTAGCTTTTGCACCATACTTCTACAAGTCCCTTTTCAGTTCAAGTTACTGGGGCTTTTTGAACTGGGGTTTTTAGCAAATGGATCTAAGCTCCTCATCAGTCATTGTAGCAACTGGCCAAAATTGAGCATCTTTTGCCTGCTATTCCGTGCACCAAGACAATGCCTGTACAACAGGCAAGGCAAGAATTCAAGCTTGTAATCCCAGTGGTTCTCAGGAGAGCCAAGGGCATTTTTACTTGTCCCTACAAGTCCGACCTCCTCACTCTTCTCAATAGAGAAGACCAGGCTGGCGCAAGATTAAGCCTCCTCATGCAAAGACAGGTACAAGCTCTGAACTATTTTTAGAACCAATTGACTACAAAGGTAATGAACATCAAACTAAAAATGCTTGACAAAATAGCAGGCCCTGCTGCTGTAGGAGATGGGGACAGCGTTGCTGGTGTTCGCCAGAAGGCTCATTCTACATTGTGGCTGCAACAACTGATTTGGATCACTCATCACCGACTGCTTTACACAAATTACTTTACCAGCTGGTGGTCCTCCTGACACATGGTGATCATAATGGCAATTAATGTGCAGCTTGTGCGAAAAATTGCACACACACACACACACACTGCAAAATACAGCACTTCCAAAGCTGGAAAAATGCAATATGGCAGTGTTTTTTCTGGAGATACTCAAGGGTCTGGAGTTCCAGCACCATTTCCTCCCCAAATGTTAAAAGTGAAGCACTTACTATAACAACTTCATGGTGAGCACTGACACCTTTTCCCCTCTTAAAAAGCACTAAATATGAGCACAACAGAACTGTAGCCTTGAATATGGACCTATGGACTGTGCATAAATGCAGTAAATTAAATACACCGCTATCGTGCAAGAAAGGTACCAAGAGCTACTGCTAACTTTAATCTAATCACAGGATCAGCCTCATAGCTGTCAACCTCAGGAGGGCTCAAAGAGAAGGTTTAAACAACAGCATTAAGAAATGGCAGACAGAATGGGAAACAGGAGCCCTAGTCATACACAGCTGTTGAAGGCTTTTACTCCCCCACCCCACCACCACCGCTTTCCTGGCTGCAGGCTGGCAGCTTTTGGCACTGGCTGCAAAGCAAACAGCAGTTGTGCTTCAAGGAACATACATATGTGATTCCACAAAGGCCAGCATTTCTATTTCAGTGACTTGTTGAACAGGCTGCTTTTTGTGTTTACTGCTTACTGACGGAGTAATCCAAGCACTCAGCATTTGTGGGCATGTCGCGCGCACACAAATTCAAACTCTGACCACTGTGCTTTCCAAAGCTTTCGTACTAAGCATGCCTCATTAAAGCATCTTCTCTGTGTGCTGCTTCTCCATGCTGCTTGTTGAGTTACACTCTCTCTCTCTCTCTCTCTCTCTCACACACACACACACGTTTCGCTTTCCACAAAGACTTGTTGCATCCCAGTTTTTAGTTCTGGGACATGATGGGAGCAAATTTCCTGGCTGTGCAGTTTTACCGAAAAGCAGTTGCCGACATAGCAAGCACACTAGCTGGAGGAAAACCATTATATGGCTAGGAGTTACACAATGTACAATTCCCTATTAAGACATTATCCAAGACAGGTCATTCTATTATGATTAGAACTGTGTAACGTTTGCCTGGTTTCTCTCTTATACTTATATTCTGAAAAGCAGGAGTTGTGGAGAATTCGCCACTTTCAGAAGCGCAGAAGAGGATAATAGGTGTGTGCCATGTTCACATGTTAACTCACATGAAGGGCTTTTCACATGATCAAGGGGCACTGGGGGCCACCCCTGGCCTTGTTTCCCAGTAGTGGCTGGTGCCCATTTGGATTGGCAGACAGCAGGGAGCCAAAGCCAATGGCGGCCAGAGCCAACTAATTCTGTTTTGTCCTGATACTCCTCCCTTTTGAGTTCTATAACAGCAACACTGGGACTAAGGAGGAGGAAGCTGGCAGGTTGTGCCATCCCTTAGACTGGTTGTAAACAACACAACAAGCGGGTGAGGCCTGGCTGAGGCTGTGGAACATTGCCCCAGTTGCCCTCTTAGACCAACCAGCCTATCTGTGTATTAGAATTGGACATCTGCAGGGGGAACCGACACATATACACATCTGCACATGTCACCTTCCCCAGGGCCAGCATGACCAAGGTTTCAAATGAGGTCTATGGGCCTCTGCAGACTGCCGCAGATAGTGCTTTTTTCCTAAAAAGACGTTTAGGGGTACTCTCACTTTGACTCAAGAAAAGCACCATTGTATAGTACAAATTGGGAAAAATAAATACAGTAAATGGACAAAAGTACAAAGATTCACAAAATGTTAAGAGGTATGCATACCCCTGCGTTCCCCCCGCAAAAAAGCACTGGCAGCAAATAAGATGCAGACAAAGAAAACCATGAAACTCTGGAGGCAGGGCCAGCAATGTGGCTGCAAAGCTCCTTGATTGTGAGAGCACCCTTCTTGAAAATTAACGCATAAAAAGGGAAATAGGGGTAGGAGTATAGGTGGTTATTGATAATGATTGGGAACTATCTGCAACAACAAAAAGTTCCTTGAGATAGGAAAATTAGGGCTGAAAAAAATCATTTAGAAAATCAATGTTCACGACATGTGTTAAATCAGCAGTATCTGTTCATTTTAAGTACTCAGTGCCAATTTTCATTGTTAACAGATTTCTGTACATCTCCCTTTGATGGATTTAGACCATGGGTTTAAACAATGTGTGTTTTTCATGCATTAATTAGCAAACAGAACTACTGCTGGCTTAAATCGCCTCAATTGTGGGTCCATCCACAGTCCTGTTGTCCCTTGATTCCAAGTCACGGGTACGAGAGGGTTGATTTTGTTGTTGTTGTCCTGCCGCCTTCTCTGGGAAAACACATTCTTTACAGCTGAATCAGAACAAATGTCAAGCCACAGAAAACCCAATTGATGTTTGTTCCAATTCAGCAGTAAACAGTAGTTTTCCTGTGGAAAGTAGAGGGACAAAATACCCCCTATTGGAACCCTGACTTGAAATCACTTGAAATTGTGGATGGGCTCAGAATTACTAGTATTGGGATATAACATTGCTTTAGCCAATGAAACTCAATTAAAAGTTAGACAGTAGAAAAATGTAAATTGGCCAATAACCCTTTTTAATGGATATACCGTACTTGTTCTTAGGAGAGGACAGCAGGCCACTCAGGTTTACAGATGTGGTCCAAACATTTAAAAGCAACAATAGGAAAACACACTGCTTGAGAGATGCTACAGTGTATTAACAATTAATATAAAGACACAATAGCAAATAAAGACAAATAATCTGCAATTAAGACCACCATTATGAAAATTATGGTGTTAACTACCCTCCGCAAGTATTACAAGATATTCACATCTGCGTTATCCATCTGAGAAAGCAATGAAGAGACAGAGGTCTTTCTGTACCAGCACAATAGTTATCCTAGGAATATGACAAAAGGACCAGCAAATACCACATTATGACCTCAGGGGTTTCATGACCAGCGGAAGCCATATCAAATGGGAGAACCAGCCTAACATTATTATCCTTCAACAATCTTGCTTTGGAGTGTCAGGAACTGCACAGAGGGAGACCTAAATTATTAATTTACATTCTAGAAACATTAACAAGGTGGAAGAATATTTTTAGAGTACTTGGCTATTGAAACTAACCAAGTGTCTGTCCTCATTAAAACCTTCAGTCTCAGTCAGCTGTCAAAATTTTGAAAGCTGTTGACTGATGCAGCCTTTAGGGTCACCATGGCAACAAGATACATTACCTAGGTGATGGCGCTCTTACATTGTCACCCCTTGGGTGACCTAGTTCTTGCAAAAAAGAAGAAGAACTGTTTGCATTATATTTTGGATATAAGCCTTCAAGCTGAATATTGCACCAGTCATGGAGGTAATTAAGAAGAGCAGGATATATGCATTGTGGGGGCAGGCTTTTTTTATATAAAAAAAGTAGAAAAGTTGGCCTGATCATTCAAGTCAGTGTCACAAGTCAAGCATGAAGTTCATTTCCCTTGTAAACAGTATGCATTCTCTTTGTATCCAATCAACAATGAGTAGTTTTAAGTTATTTGAAGGACACACTACTGGGAAGTTACGATTTAAGTGGCCCAAATTTCTCAGGAAATTATCTGTCATTTTCCAGATTCATGCCAAATTACTATGACAAACAATGCTACACGAAGCAAGCAGTCATATTGACTGGCAACGAGGTCACACGCAAGCCGCAGAGTGCCATCCTTTGTAAGACTGTACCATCTCTGAATGCATGTAGCAAGGAGCTCTTTTTTAAAAAAGAAGTTACATGGCTGGAAGAGACTTCTTAAATAACATTAAAGCTCCTCCTAATAACATCAAGTGCTGGCTGCAGACAGAAATAAGGTCAAAATGGGATTACAGACACGAGAAAAGGGGAGTGTATTTGCAACTCAAGGAAACCTTGATGTTTACAGAAATACAAACAACATACAACCTAAACCAGAGGGCAGGGGGTGTGGGAAGAAAAACACCCCATCCAATGGAGACTGAGTATGCTCAGCAGCCATGAAATGTTGAACGTCAGTTGCAGAGGAATGGTGGCTGGACAACTCTTTTCACCCTTGGATGAAACTGACTATATTCAATTCAAGTTGTTTACAGGCCTGGTTTTGAGACATACTTACCTTTTGCCCTTTTATGTCATATGCTCCATATGTCTGATAGTTGATGGGGGGCGGTTGTCACCAACTCCTAGATATGCATCTGCCAAGAATTACCAGCAAACAGTAGAAGCAGAACGCAGAGTGAATGATCAACTTTCAGCTTCACTAGCTCCCAACTTCTCCTTTCCAGCAACTGAATCTCCAGGTCTCAAGACATATGAAACATAAGGAGATGAACAAAACATTCAACCAGTCTACCCCACCACACTTCCACTGTGGCAGCCGGCAAGGCAATTAAATTTTCCAGTGATATAGCAATTCACACCTTTTCACAATGATAGAGGATGTCAGCTAAGGTGAAGCGATAGAGAATGTCAGCTAACGCAGAATCAAAGAACCAAGTCCAAATGAAATTATTGCACTTATGCCAGTTAGAAATTACAGGTGGAGGGAATCCTTATGCAGAATGGGAAATTTTTATACCTGACAGTGAGATGGGGTGGGTCTTGTAGGCAACAGATACCCCACTTTCTCTAGAGGCAATTAATCGCCACAGGCAGGTACGATATGTTGGACAGCATAGAGATGGGACAAAGTTCACCCAGTCAATGGAAGGAGTTCTACTCAGCATCTAACTAACATTGTTTGGATCAGAAAAGAGTCCAGGATTATCACTGTTATATATTTCCACACTGTTCATAAACCCTGAAGAGTTCTTGCAGCATCTCACAAATTAACAAACAACAACAAAACACTCAAAACAGTAAGACAGAGCTGCAATATTTAGAAAGCAAGGTAAGACACTCACTAAAATAGAATCCAAAAGGTCCAGGCAAACACACAGAATTTTTTTACCTAGTATTGAAAAGAAAGTCAGCTTCACACAAGCCTCCCTTGGAGAAGGCATTCCAAAGCCAGGACACCACTCCTGGAAAGAGCAGGTCCCCTCACCATCACAAAAGGCAAGGGGATCCAAGAAAGGGCCTCTAAGATAGATCTCCACCTGCAGATTCATTTGGGAGCCAGTAGTTCGCCTGCTTCTTGGGAGGAAAGCAATGACCAACCTAGACAGCATCTTAAAAAGTAGAGACATCACCTTGCCAACAAAGGTCCGTACAGTAAAAGCTATGGTTTTCCCAGTAGTGATGTATGGAAGTGAGAGCTGGACCATAAAGAAGGCTGATCGCCGAAGAATTGATGCTTTTGAATTATGGTGCTGGAGGAGACTCTTGAGAGTCCCATGGACTGCAAGAAGATCAAACCTATCCATTCTGAAGGAAATCAGCCCTGAGTGCTCACTGGAAGGACAGATCGTGAAGCTGAGGCTCCAATATTTTGGCCACCTCATGAGAAGAGAAGACTCCCTGGAAAAGACCCTGATGTTGGGAAAGATGGAGGGCACAAGGAGAAGGGGACGACAGAGGACGAGATGGTTGGATAGTGTCTTTGAAGCTACAAACATGAGTCTGACCAAACTGCGGGAGGCAGTGGAAGACAGAAGTGCCTGGCATGCTCTGGTCCATGGGGTCACGAAGAGTCGGACACGACTAAACGACTAAACAACAACAACAAAAAGTTCCTTAGGTATCCTAACCCTAAACTGTACTTGCCATTTTTTTCTACCTAACCAGGCAGCACGTAACTTGACTTCTTTGTGCAAAACCTTCCTTGCTTTGTAAGCACCTTCATGGTGTACATATGTGGAGCCACACATATCAGAATTGCTTAGAGGGTCTCTGGGTGGATGGCCCTTCACTGCATGTCAGGGAACTGCCATCGGAGCTAGAGGCGGAGGGAAGGCTCCAAAGGGATGCCGGAGAGGGTCCCAGTAGGAAGAGAGGCAGCCCGTCCGCTGGGGAAGGAAATCAGCATAACACCAGTAGAGAAGGGGGGCAGATGGGGGAATCGGAGAGGAGGCTCCAAGACTCCTCGCCGGAGACCAGCGGAGAGAGTACGGGTCCTCCGCTGCCCACACCCTCCCTGCGCAGAAGGCTTCCGCGCAGGGAGACTAGGCGGAGACTAGGCGTCAAAGAACTTTTGTGCTGGAAGAAGTTTAAGAAACGCCCACTGACGGATTCTGCCAGCGACTGAGAAAGCCACGGAGCTAGAGGCTGTCCGGTCAGAAAGGGTTCAACCAGGTAACCTAGCCAGCAGTGGCAGCAACTTACGCACGAGCAACCCCTAAACCCATTACACTGCAGTAGGGTAGTGCCCTAGGATCAGCCTTCTCCAACCCTTCATATGTTGTTGGACTATAACCAGCACTTTGGATTAGTAGCCCAAAACATCTTGAGGACACCAGGCTGGGGCAGACTGGCCCAGACCAGGACCAGGGACAGGAACCTGTGGTCCTCCGTATATTGTTGGGCTCCAGCTTCCATGATCAGGAATGATGGGAGTTGTAGGCCAACAACATCTGCAGTACCACCAGTTCTCCACCTGTGGCCTGGATGGGGACCTGGGGGAGGTTTAAAATAGCACAAGCAACACCATTCCTCGCCACTTCGGAGACAGCTGCTTCCCCGCCTTTTATCTTAACCTAAATTCTCAGTTGCTTCAGCTCATATATTCCCAGTTTTCAACCATCAGAGCTTCTTTTACACATTCTGGGAATATTTAAAAACAGAAAGATGAGCAGCAATCGTGAGATTCTCATGGGGGATTATTGGTGTATAATTAAGCAATATCCATAGTAACAAGCAAATCTGCATTAGCCTGACCTAGTTTGAAAAATTCCATCAGCTTGTTGAGGGACAATGACATATTATCTCCCAAAGTACCCCCAACTTTGAAAGCACAACAAAGACAGGACTTTTCCAATAATGAGGCAGCCAGAGACAAGGAACTAGGAACTCCATGGCACAGAGCAAGTTTATGTAATTTTAAGTCTGTATAAATTATTAGGGTGAAAGGAAATCCCAAACTTGTGTTTGCTTCACAGATGAACACATCATTATGTCACCTTGAACAGTTTGGAAAGGTGTGGAACGAATTTGTGAACTAAAATACATATTACAAAATCCTACAGAGATGATAAAAGGTAAAGGTACCCCTGCCCGTTCGGGCCAGTCTTGCTAGACTCTAGGGTTGTGCGCTCATCTCACTCTAAAGGCCGGGAGCCAGCGCTGTCCGCAGACACTTCCGGGTCACGTGGCCAGCGTGACAAGCTGCATCTGGCGAGCCAGCACAGCACACGAAACGCCGTTTACCTTCCCGCTATAAAGCGGTCCCTATTTATCTACTTGCACCCGGAGGTGCTTTCGAACTGCTAGGTGGGCAGGCACTGGGACCAAACGACGGGAGCACACCCCGCCGCAGGGATTCGAACCGTCGACCTGACGATCGGCAAGTCCTAGGCGCCGAGGTTTTACCTACAGCGCCACCCGCGTCCCAGACTTCTCTGATACTTCTCTGCATAAACATTCACATATGAATGGCCTGTGCAAGATTATGCAAATATTCTTTGGGCCTAGCTGAAAATTGCAGCCACCACAATTCACCTTTCCTGCTAAATTCCTCCCAAACCCACCAGCTACATACATAGTCTCACTCCACTCTACTTTTTTTCTTTCATTTCCCCAATGGATGCCCCTTGGTGACTCAGAAAATTTGTAACTACTTTATGCACAACATACATTTAAAGCACCCGCTCCAAAAAAGAAATCTGGAAACTGTAGTTTGTGAAGCATGCTTTGAACTATAGCTCAGTGAGGAGTAAACGACAATTGCAGGATTCTGGTTTTTTTGTGGGGGAGGTTCCTGTGTGTACACAGAGAGTATTACATTCCAGGGGTGAAATGAGGTCACCAAAAGCTTATACCATTCCGCATTTATTTATATTTATTCTCTCTCTCTCTCTCTCTCTCTCTCACACACACACACACACACACACACAGCGAGAGAGAGAGAGAGAGATTGAGCATTGGGAAAGATACAGCATAACTCCTAAAGATATTGTAAACTTACTTTTCTCCCTCAGATTTTCAGTGTGGGGAACACCCAGTCTCCACAACAATGCTGTTGACTTACAGGCTCTAAAACAGACACACTTTTTCCAGCCCATTTATTTCTAAAGATGACTGGTCTACTGTTCTGATGTGCATGCACACACAAGAACCTGTCTGACACCGCCTCCAGCTGCCTTCTTCAAGAAAGAATACTTGGCAAAGGTCAGCTATTCAGATCCCTCAAGGTCCGTCCTCCCAGTAGACAGAAACTGGCCAACTAAACTTGCCTAATTGGTTTGCCCTCTGTGGCAATCTCTTTTTTAACAACCAGAGTCATAGGTTGGGATGGGGAAGACGTTGAGAGATCGTTTGGGCCAGCTTCCCATCTCACTACAACAGCAATAACATGCTTGAGAAAGTAAACAGAAAAGTCATTCAAAAGTCATTCAAGGAGGTTCAAAGTCCCTGTCATGCACTTTATAAATAACTAGTGAAACAGGAGGAGTGTATATGGATGTGTGGCTCAGGGACAGGAGAGTCCTTGCATAAAGGAACCATAAACCACAGGACATACCTTGGCTACAGCTTGCGGTTAGTGTAGAGGGAGCTAAACTATGAGCCTGTGTTCAGACAACATGCTAAGTCAAACTGCGGCTTGCCTAATCATTTATTTATTTATTTATAAATAATAACACAATTTCATTAAAATATCAAAACTGTGTACAAAAAAATCTATACAATAAAATAACAGACAAAATAACCCGGAATCACAAATCACCAGTCAACAGTTTAAAACGAATCTCTGTAAGCCTGGCAGCAGAAAAAAAAATCTGTGAAGATTAAATATAAAATAATAATGTTGGTGAGATAGGACAGTGGCAGGTTCAGATTTTGTTCTCAGCAAACCTTCCTCTTCCTCCCAGCTGTCCCTTAAGTTGCCCTCTGTGCTAGATGCTGCTCCATCTCCTTATTCATCACTAGAGGGACAATAGCTGCAAGAAGGAGCAGCAGCAGCAGCAGCAGGGAACAGGAGGCAGCGGTGGCAGCCAGGTCCCAAGAGCTATGCCAGCCGTAGAGTAACCACACATCTAGAAAGGAAGGGCACTAACACCTAACTAGGCACATGGGAGAGAGTTCCTTCTGGATAAGGGTCACTGTATGATTGTGTTGCTTTACATACGTCCACACTGGACACACAGTCTTCCATTCATGTCTGCCAATGCAGCAGGCAGGGCAAAAGGGAAAATAACTGAGTGTCACTCCCAGAAATTATTGGCACTGAGTTAGTGCATCCCAAGCGCCAAATAAATCTCCACCTAGTCATGGGGAATAATCTATGGAGAGCATTTGGTCATGCCCTTTCCAAATGGACAGTTTAGAGCACATTTACTGCAGGGAAGCCAGGCATCTCTCTGGGACAGAATTCCATGATATTCTTGCAACTTCCACAGATGGAAACCGCAAGCAACAAGTGTTCAAATATTGCTCTTCAAATGCTGAGAAAGTTCTGTTCCCAGCTTAGCTCTATTTCTGCTCAATGAGTAGCAACTCATTGCATGAAAAACACGGTCTCCTACAGAAGCGTCAGGTCTATCAGCAGTTTCCATTGTGACTCAGCCATGTTTAGAAAGTGTGGAGCGTGGAAACTTTGGACCAGCTTTTGGTGGGGAAAGTGAAAGGAACATTTTAGACTCTTTTTTTGGCTCCAGAACCAACTTAGCAGTAATTCTCTACACCAAACAAACAAGCTGGTAAAAGTTCCAAGCCTCATTCACCTTGGAGATTATATACTTAACAGAGATTCTGAAGTCTAACCCCAGCTACCTGAAGAACCATCCTGTCATCCATATGAGAAAATTTAGCATGAGAGGGTAACTTGCAAAGTGGAGGTAGGAATGCTGAAAAAGGCCACAGATTTCTACTTGTGGGACTGTCAGGGAGTTTGGAAACTATTGCTGAAAAAGCTGAGTCTGTAGATGTTCTCTTCCTTTATCTGATAAATGCCATGTCATGGAAGAGAAATAAAACAGTCCACTGCTCCATCAGGAACCTTCAGAAATAAAGTGTGCATTTCCCTCTTAACCACAGAAGTGTTGCTGTTTTTATCACAACTGCGCACCACTAAAGAAGCTTGCTTCAAGTTCTGCCTAAAGGCAGCTTCATCAGTGCAGAGGTATTCAACGCTAAACACACACCGCTCTAGCAGCCCTCACTAAGATCAGGAGTTCACTGGTTTGAGAAGTCCTTTCCTCCACCCTTTATTATTATTTTAACCCAAAAATAATAACGTTTCTCACACCCCAGGAAAACTCTTAGCCGTGGCTAGGTCTCTCCCAATCTCCTCTGCCCCTCTCACCTTTGCCAGAGGAAGCTGAAAACTGCCAAAGATTGTTCCTGTGAAGCAGACAGGCACTTGCACTGAGCGATCTCAGTTCAGGCTGCGACTCGCAGTGAAAGAGGAACCCCAGGCCACCTGCACGCCGGACTTCTCTGCCCCATGCTTTTTATTCTCTCTCTGTGAGTCCTTAGGGCTTTCCAGGCAGAGCCACTGCCAGGGCTTTCCTTCGGATCACTGGGGAGTGGTAAACCCTCAACTTCCGTAAAAAAAAAAAGTCTTTTGAAGTTTTCTTAAGGTGGAACTTTGTAGAACTGTTCATCGTTAGCCAACTTTCCTAACACTTTCATCAATCCCCTCTCCCATTCCTTTTAAAGTAACAGAAATTTCTCCATAATTTTCAAGAACCTCGAGCATTGGCTACATACTACTTCTTACCAATTTGTAGGCAATAAACAAAGAAGCAGAAGAGCCTTGGTTCTGAGGTTGCTTCCAGAAGGCCCCTTTAACGAACACCCATCTTATTCAAAGTACATTCACCACACATTTAAAGCACATGACTTTCCCCCAAATAATCCTGGGAACTGTGGCTTCCCCCTCACAGACCTACAATTCCCAGTACCCCGAACAAACTACAGTTCCCACAATCCATTGGGGCAATTCACAGGCTTTAAAGGTGAGTTAGATGTGCCTTAAATGCACGGTGTGGATCTTAAGGTTGCATCAGTACTTTCCAGTGCATGTCCCTGTCATTTTCCTTATCACAGAAAGTCCGTTTCTTTGGCGTTTGTTTTGCAACAGCTCCAAATGAGCTTTAACGCACAGCCTGAATTTGCCAGTGACTGTCTGGAAGCCAAATTGTCGGTGTGATAAATTTTAAGGCAATTTAAAGTTTATATTCTATTACAAATCTCAGTATTTCAGCCTTACAAAATCTTCCTAAGTCATAAATATAGGAGGGGGGCGTAGTTGGACAATATGGCCAATAAGCCATGTAAATGTGAAGAGGAATTTGTTGGCCGTGGCAGTAGGGAATAGTTATTCCAAGATATATCCTTTCTTCCCCCACCAGCATCACCTATGAGACCAAAGTTGTAAAAACCTGCCACAGCCACAGTGTGAAGGATAAAAGCCAATCTCCAAATAACTGAGACATGTTCTAAGTGTAGCCAATAACTGAGCAGACAAAGAGGTAAGTGGAGGCTGCAGTTGTTGCACTCGCGGAACTACCAACTGTGAATTCATGACTACCATTTTACACACACACACACACACAATAACATTAAGAAGAGCCTGCAGGATCCGGTCTAGTTTAGCACCCAGCCCTCAAGGTGGCCAACTAGATGCCTGTGGGAAGCAGGACGCAAACACAAGAGCTTTCTCCCTGCTCCTGTGGTTTCTGTGGAGGGAAAGCCTAGTAGCCATTGATAGCTTTATCCTCCACGAAGTTGTCTAATAGTGGCCAGCCCTTCTTCCTGTGGGAGTGAGTGCCATAGCTTAAAACTATTTGCTGGGTGAATAAGTAATTTTATCTGTCCTGAACCGTCCAACATTCAGCTCCATGAGATGTTCATGCGTTCTATTGTTATGAAAGATGGAGAAAACCTGTTCTCCATCCACTTTCTCCATGCCATACAATAATTTTAAATGTGTCTAATGTATTTAAATGTCGGCTGTGTGCCTGTGCTACGCACCCCCTTAGTCCGTCATGCTTCTCATTTTTAGTCTCATCCTTAAACAAATCAAATGTATATACTTAAGTTTGATTGCATAATAGGGAACAAATGTAGCTCTTTGCAGATGGTTCAGATCATCTGGATATCGTTGTCCCTCCAACCCATATTCCTCGCTGTGCATGTTACCCTCTTTTCTTACCCTCCCTTCAAACTCAAGCCAAATATGTGCAGTCAGGCAACACCCAGCTGAGAGACCCGAGGGCTCAAGAGTAAATATCCAAGTGTACAGGAAAAAGCAACTCTAAAGAAATATAAAGGCATTTATAGTAAAAACTAGCAGAAAGGATTGGAAGCCAAGACCTTACCCTCTTGTGGATCATGACAAGGGGATGTTATTGCCTTGTTCAATTCCTTTTAACCTTTTCAGTGTTTGAAATATGCATTAATAAAATTCCTCACAAGTACTTAGATTTCCAAGAGCAAAAAGGTTTGTTCTGAATTGCTCTAGAATATTATCCAGGAATTACAGCATCCAACATCCACATCTGGCTTGAAGTAAAGTATGACTAGATGCAAAAATATCCCTCCTCAGTTTCAAGATTCCTCTGGGATAGTGCATCTACTACATCCATGCCTAATCTGTTGCAGTGGTTGAACTTCCCATGTGGTTAGGAAGCATTTACAGCACAGCCTTTACAACACAACCCTATATGTTACTCAGAAGTAAATTCAATAGGGTTAGGCTCCAATCCTATAAATGCATTAAGTGTTACTTTTAATTTCTGATTGCACAATTTTGTTTCTGACAGCAATGTGAAACGATCCATACCATGCATTTAAAGTACAATCAATGTGCATTTAAAGTACATGACTTTCCCAAAATAATCATGGGAACTGTAGCTTCACAGACCTACAACTCCTAGTACCCCTAATGGACTACAATCCCCAGAGTTTTAAATCATGTGATTTAAATGTATGTTGGATCTGCTTTAAATGTATAGTGGGTGTTTGGGGAGGGGTGCTTTTTTCTTCACTTCCCCCAATTTCCAACTCTCCGTGTCGTGCAAGTCCTCGCCATTTGATTTCACTATGAGAGATGTGGAAAAGCTCCTTAGATGAGCAGAGGTGACGCAGGCCACCAGTTTGCATACTGAGATGTGTGCAGAACACTTACCAATCATTGTAGGGGCAATAATTAAACATGTGCGTATTAACTGCTGCTATGTGCATTAGCCATAAAGTGTCTCACGGATCCCTCTACAGAGCATCCACATCATGGAACATCTTCACATCACTGCTAATTCCTGTATGGGGCAGCTGTTCCAATATGGAATGCACTTCCAGCTGCTTCCATAATACATCTTATTGACCAGCCCTCTGCTGTCCTGGTGTCATCAACAAGAGCACAAGCATTGGATCAGCTGTTCAGTGTGAAAAACAGCAAGAGACCCTCATAATCTCCAGGTTTTGCCATTTTGGCAAGCACACTACCATCATTCTAGAATACAGACCCATGAAGAACTTGTGTTTATAATGCAAGTAGATATTCAGAACTCAGGGGTAACAGAAGCAGCAAAAAATCAAGACCGGGTTTAGGTGTGGGGCCGAAGTTTGGAGGCAGCAATTCTGAGAAGAGTTATTCTATGTTCTTACGATCCCTTTTTCAAACAGCTTCTTGTGAAAATCTGCCCCTTGATAAAAGTTACCACTATAAATTCTTCTTCCCTGGTACAGTGGTACCTCGGGTTACATGCACTTCAGGTTACAGACTCCACTAACCCAGAAATAGTACCTGGGGTTAAGAACTTTGCTTCAGTATGAGAACAGAAATCGTGCTCCGGCGGCACGGCAGCAGCAGGAGGCCCCATTAGCTAAAGTGGTGCTTCAGGTTACGAACAGTTTCAGGTTAAGAATGGACCTCCGGAACGAATTAAGTACTTAACCCGAGGTACCACTGTAATACCAAGGATGGGATGTGTCTTATGCCTTAATGTGCAAAGTCATATTACAATGCTTTCCTCTTCTTTTCTTGTTTACACAGTGAAGGGAATCACCATTCCTAAGTTTCCTTTACCGCAAGGAATTGCATCTTTTCTTACAAGGGCATATGAAAAATGTCTAAGAAATCCAGAGCCTCCAGCCTAGAGACTTGACATTATTCTTATTTAGGGAGCTGCACATCTTCCATTGTCCCATAATAAATATCGAACAGAAAACCTGTTAAGTAAAAGATGGCATTATCCACTGAAGAAGAAGAGCTTGGGGGGCAAATATCACCACATTGTTTATGGCATACCATCCATCTGGCTCAGATTTTATCTGGAATACATATCCAGTGCATCTCTCCAGAAGTGGTGTGCTCCAGAACATTTTATAGTATTGCTTCTCTTCCCTCCCACCCCCTCGCTCCCACAGGCTTGTTTACAATGTGTACACTTTTATGGCTCAGGAAAGAAAACAGCCTCTATAATCATGCATAGTAATCAACCCTCATTATTTACTCTTAATGATTTTACAGTATTTTTACACTAGTCCCCTAGAAATTTTAGTCATCCCAAAGAGAATAGCTTGCCTGTAACCATTTGCTAATTGCACGTATGAATGTCAATTAATTCACTTAGCTAATTATCCACTCTATGAACATCATGCACCAAAGAACTGTAAAAAGACAGGCATATGGTAATAGATTTGGAACAGAACATAGCATGTTGGTGGGTATTCATTTCATCAGATGAGGCATTGCGGGGGGGAGGGGGAATGGACACATGTGTATTAAGTTAGTATGTCAGCACACCCTGGATGAAAAGGCACTGTCAGCTTGGGGAATACCAGCTCCATAAGCCATAATTACAGCATTATGCTAATTGTGCCTGAACATTGATCAAAATATCACTGGAAGGATACTGCAACAACACTACAACTTTGGTTTGGAGATCGCATCGTAAGTCAAGCGTTTAAGAGGTTCTAATCATCTTGCTCCTTTCAACATAAGCAAGAATTACGTTTCATCTAGGAGTCCTCTTGAAAATCGCTAATAGGGAAAATGCACACAGCTTAATTGGCAGAATTCCTCATAAACCTAATCCCAAAGAACCTAAATGTTTCAAGAGGCCTCACATCACATGTTTTGGTCCAAGAGATGCAGCTGTATTCAAGTATCAGCCTTTGGTTCTAGAACACTTATCGGATAAGGAGAGCAAAGCCCAAACAACTGATTTTTATCAATTTTGCTCTCCGGAAATCAGCAGCCAAGAACTGCAGGTTTCACAACAAGGTCACATCCACGCCATACATTTACGCCGCTTAAAGTGTTGTGGTTGCTCTAAATGTATGATGTGGTTGTGACAACTAAAACTTGACAAATCTGTGTTTATCTGTGAGAGGAGGACAATAACATTGGGCGTTTTCAGACTAGCAATTCCTATTCAGCAATTGCTCTTCCACCGTAAGTATGATGAAGAAGAAAAGCATACTTTCCACACTTTGGGGATACAGCACTTTGTGTGTACAGCGTACATTCTGCTATGCTCCAGCCACACTAATGGGGATAACATAGTCATGTGAGCATAGAAGGGACCATTTACCTGAGCGTGTCATTTACATAGGAATATATGCCAGGTCAGATCATTGCTCCATCTAGCGCAATACTGTCTACTTTGACTGGCAGTGGTTCTCCAGGATTCCCAGTCCTACATGGAGATGTCAGTGATCTTTTACACGCAAAGCACTTGCTCTACTCCTAACCTCCTTTCTCTTCAGCCCATTGAACTATTGTTATTTTTAAAATTTGCATGGAAACGTGTTTGGTTTTTTTACTTACGTGCTTTTGCATAACTTCTTCAATACTTTTTAAGGCAAAGAAGGTGTTTCAGTACAAGTTTTAAAAACTCAGTTCATAAACAACATACTGATAAAATGGCACCACCATGAAAAGGTAACTCTGGAGGGGCAGGGAAGCAAATGCATGGCAACGGACTCATGTGCTCAATATGTCACTCCACATCCCCTGACCACATCTATTTAAAAAGATGGAAGCATTCTATGCCTAATGAAAGGAGCCAAGAGTTCCCCAGACATCATTTCAATATTGCTCCCCCACCCCACCTCACCGCCACTTAATAATTAGTAGCCACTCACTTAGTTAACTTTAGTGCATAAGCTTCTCTGTCTAGTACACTTCCCTTCCCCCTTATATGTAATCAATGTACCACATATGCATGTGAGATGCTATCAGAAATATTTGAGGGCTAGTAACACCTGAAGACCTGCATGTAAAGTTATTTCAGCTTTGATCTGCACATTCAACAGTTCTGAGGTAGTAGAGTCAAGGACAGAACTTCAGATTACAAGGGGCGAGGCAGGAAGATGCCATTTGATGGTGGTGGTGGTTGTGGTGGTGGTGATGAATTGTACCCCACCCACCTGACAAAATATAAAGGAACACAACAAATGCTCCCTTGCCTTAAACAAAAACAATCCCTTCAAGAAGATGACCCAGAATAAATGAGAGAGTAGTTCTTCCGTGTACTCTGCTAATTTTCCTATTTAGGGATATATTCAAAAAATCTATCCACACAACCCCTGTAGTCTGAAATGGAGCAGACCATGCTATCATCTCAAAACTCTACAACCTCATCCGCTCCTCATTCTGCTACATGTGTAGCTCTGGTCCCACTAAATTCTTAATACAAGTAACTTAAGATAATACCACCTTATCATCATCTTATTTATGATAGAGTTTACCCAGGATTTGAACTGGAGGACTTCTACCTCAAAGAGATCATGCACTTAACCTCTCGCCCGTAAGGTTGGCTCATGAAGACTCTTTAAAAGCTGGACATAAACTGTAATCTCCTTTCACAGCTAAAGAGGATGCTGAACCATCACAATTCCTTCCGAGATGCAAGAGCCCTCATTTACACAAGTGCTCTCTCTCTCTCTCTCTCTCTCACACACACACACACACACACACAATGTTATGCAGCAAGCGTTCTACAACCTAGGAACTCTGTACTTCCAAAGTGCATAATAAAAGCAGTTTTGCAGACATCTCCAATGGAAAAGGCTCATTATGAAATAGGAAAGAGTCACTAGCTGGCGCATTAGCCTAATAAATCATAGCATTATAGATTCTTTTGCATTAGCTAGCCTAGCCTCTGGGACAACTTGAGTTTCTGGCAGAGATGGAAATCCTAACCAAAGTATTAAACCTTTGTGGTGATGCTAGCAAACCAGCCTGCCTTAGTCCCTTCCCACCTACAACTGCCCCTTTTCAACTGAGCTTCCCTTTAGATCCTTGGAAGCTCACAGACAGGCAGATTCAGCTATAGCCAGCAAATTAACCATTTAAAGGAAGTATCCACTTTTAGTCTTTAGTCATCAATGACTGCTGGTTCTGTACTGTATATAAAACAGCTGTCCATTGTCATATTGTAACTTCCAGTGTTTCACAGAGAAGCATCTTATTCTGCAAACGCAGAATAAGGCAGCCTAAGAATCTCAGCTTCTATTTAAGCTTTCTTTAAAAAGCGTTCTTTAGCAGTTAAGATAATTTGAAGTTTATCTGTATGATGATGTGTGTTTAAAAATGACTCAAAAGTCAAAGCAGGGTTTTCTACAGGCAAGAGAGCAGCACTTCACCATCCTGTCTGATGATGTTCACCCCTTCCAACTATACAGTATATATATATATGCAAACATGCACTTCTTCCTTTGCAGAAGCCACATTTGCTTGGTTCAGAACCTGAATTCCTTCAATGCCCTAATTCGATAAAAGGGGTTAAAAGGTACCTTGCCTACCAACAGACTGAGCATGCCTTAGCAAATTTCTGAATTGTTAAATTCAAACCCCCATACCACACTTTTGTACATCAGGATATTCATAGCTCAACATCTCAACTCCAGGTATAAAAGTTAAAAGTACTAAAATCAGAATTTGGCCGAGAACCAGCTTCCAGTTAAGATGGACGTTACTGTTATCATCTGGCCGAGTTGCGTTCTGTATGAGGTACAAACTCACTAGCCTCTGGAAACAGCATCTGCAGTAGGCACATATATAGCATATATGTATCAATTGCTAAGCAGCTGCTGTTGGAAGGTATGAGAAAAACAGCAGAGTGTGCTGTGCACTAAGCACACTATGAATGCAAGTCAGGTAAATGTCACACTAAGATAGCCTGCAGAGTACCTAGTTTGCAATTTGAATTCACAAGCAGCCTGTTTGCAAATGCTGACCAAACAGTACTTGGACACACACCTAGAAATACACACATAAGTTCTTTTCCTTGTACCTAGACCTGTTCTGTGAATACCAGAAATCCCTCTGCAGAATTGACCAAACTGATTTATTTCACTAGAACTAATGTTTTATGTTTAAGTTGGTGGCCAACTTTAAAATCTGATTCATTATTCTAAAGCTCTCCCTGTGGTGTAACAACGGGGAGAATTTCCCTATCCAAAACCAACAGTATATGCAAAATTATTAATGCGGCTGATCCAAAACACACCCAGCTTGCAAGTCATTCCATGTTTACAGTACCACCACAAAGACGGCAAAAGCAGTTTAAACCAACAATGCTGCTTAGCTTTAATCCACTGTTCTTGCTTTCCTGGTTTCTGAAACACATTCGGAATTCATGATGACCGTAACAGATTGAAGAACTGGGCCCAAACTATCAAAATGAATCTCAACAGGGACAAATGTCAGGTTCTACACTTTGGCAGGAATAACCAGCTGCATAAATACAAGATGAGGAATACCTGGGCTGCCAGCAGTATATGTGAAAAGGGCCTAGGTGTCCTAGTAGACCACAAGCTTAACATGAGTCAACAGTGCGATGCAGAAACAAAAAAGCTAATGCTATTCTAAGTTGCATCAATAGAAGTATAGTGTCCAGATCAAAGGACGTAATAGTACAACTTTATTCTGCCTTGGTCAGACCCCACCTGGAATACTACGTCCAGTTCTGGGCACCACAATTTAAGAAGGATGTTGACAAGCTGGAACGTGCGCAGAGAAAGGCGACCAAGATGATAAAGGATCCAGAAACCAAACCTTATAAGGAATGTTTGAGAGAGCTGGGTATGTTTAGCCTGGAAAAGAGACTGAGAGGAGATATGATAGCCATCTTCCAATATCTAAATGGCTGCCACATGGAAGATGGAGCAAGCTTGCATTCTGCTGGGGAAAGGACCTGAAAGGTCTGTTTGGGTGGGGAGTGGGGAAGCAGATTTATTGCACAAGGACTCCCAACCAGCTATAATTGCACGACCTGAATTTGCCAACACACAACTGAATTCCATC